GCTTACACGATTACAACGACGTGACATCGATCCTGAGAAATTGCAGGCGTTATATCGTAGCGCGCGCGCGAGCTCCTGAATATTATCGCGCACGCGGCACATCCTTCTCCCGGAAGTGAAATTAAACCAATATCCGCATTTGCGGGCGCGGTGCCGCATTGCGCTATTTCGACAAAAGGCGCGAGAAAGGGAACATGACGAGACGAAAAAAAAAAACTGCGCGGAGGGAGCTCACGGCTCCTTCTTACCGTCGCCGTCCGCCGTCCTTGTTCGAAAGTCAGGAAAATATCGGAATTTCGCACGGAGCGCGGGCGTGCGAATGTGTCCCGGGGATCCCGGGAAGAAGTCGTTCTGGGATGGACACGCGGCCGGGTAATGGAAGATGTGATAATTTAGTATGCACGATCGGAGTTTATTTGAATTTTATTGGCGGACTCGCTGTCACGCGGCCGTGGAAGAGTGGCGGCGGCGATGCCGCAGGGGGAGGGTTCCGTTTTTCACTTTATCGGATCGGGGACGAGACGACGCTCCTCCCGTTTTCCCGAGGGGACACTTCCGTCCGACCAATATCGCTCCTCTTCCTCCGTCGCTCGGGCCCTCTCGCTCCCCGGCCCGTCTCTTCACCGCCGCGCAACCTCCTTAACCTAGCTCTCCCTTGTCCTCCTTTATTCCTCCTCTCTCTCTCTCGCCTTCTATCTTTTACTCTCTCTCCCGGGGCGCTTCCAATATCTTTCTAAGTTCTCGGAGCCGGCCATGAATAAACTATTCTCCGACTTTGAATATCTGAGCGTTTTGCGCGGGAATGGGACCGCCATCGAGGGACCGACCGCAGAAAGGACGGGAGTGGGCGATATCGATTGATCGACATTGCTCGTGGGACGGGAAAATGCCGCAGTTGAAAGTGCGACCCTTCAATTTTTGGAAAACGGTTCCCTCTTAAGGGAAAGAAGAGAGATGATGTATCGTTCGCTTCAACTGTTAACAATTCGAATTCTCTGTCGCCACGAGAGTTAGTGCGACAGCCGATCTTCCGATTATACAGAAACGCATTGCACGGCAAGATGGAATCTTCATTGTCTCTGCACGATAGAAATTATTTCACACGATGCGTATGCCAACGTTTTTTATGTGCAAACAAAAGGTGTTAAAATATGGAATATTTAATTACTTTCGCGCAAGAGAGAAATTTCTATCCACACACTTGCACGACACGACTTAATCTCCGAAGATTCCGTGGACAAAAGATTCAGGGGGGAAAACGTCGTATTTATTAACGCGTCAACAAAATGCGTTGTTAATGCCGAACGACAGGATTCTTTATCCCCGATCTCGATAGCGGGGCGATTAATTTTTCGTGCCGTCGAGGATGATGAAATCAAGCAGTCAGCATAATGAGTAGCGTTGTCTGCCGCGCAATTCATCGGATGTCGCGGGAGCAAGGGGCGCGGGGGTGGCGAAGGACGGTGGGGTTATTAATATTCAGAACGAGAAGCGGGAGTCGAGAGCAGTGCCGAGTGACAAATACCTAGCGCCTCAGCCCAACCCCGGCACGGCTCAACTCTGTAATTAACGCTAATCTCCAGGCCGTTTCTGCGACACCGTACCACCCACTTCGTCTTCTCTCTTGTCTCTCTGTACTTACCGGGGTAGAGGGTGGCTTTAAGCGGGAACTCGCCGGTCGGTTCTCAGACGAGAGAAACTTCGATACTTTCACGTCAAAAAAAAAATAAGCATTGTCGCAAATTTTTTTTTTTTTTTATCGCGTATTGCGCACCTTCGTGAAGAATCGATAGTGCAATCGACTGGTCATTTCTTCAGAATTTTTTATCATGCAGCGAAGAAGTGTATTTATTATTTTTAAAGATTTAATAACTGTGGTAGAGCAGGTGCAACGTTGAAATATATTATTTGGTGTTGCATTTGGATCGGCGATAAATGCAAATACTTGCGCATGTAGAAATAGCTGAAAAAATTCACATACCGCATAGATCTCGTACTGTACGAAGCTGGAAAAGTCAGGAAACCAACTCTATTGTTTGTGCATTCCTCCTTCCAGTAAAGTAAAAAAAAAAAAAGAAAAAAAACAGGAAAGGACGCCGCATGAACGCGGCATCTCGTCGCAGTTCTTGAATATTTTTGCGAACATTACCGCCCCGCCGTTCATTCGTCATGTGCGGTACGCATTTAAATTTACAAAACTGTGTACTGTATTACTAACTGCATACGTGAACTGCGCATAAATTTCTTTCGCCGGCTCATAGAACTCTGTGAGAAATTTTGCGGCGGATGCATAAACTTCAGTTACAAATTATTATAAAAAAAGTTCATATTGCAAAGTATTATAATAATCAGATAAGAAAGGCGAGACATTTGAAAATCCAAGAAACGAGATAACGCATGCGAAGCCACTTATCGAAAATCATAAGTTAAAAGCGTAATGCGTTTCATCGCGCAGTCGACGCAATTTTCAGATTTCATGATCGGATAAATAATCGAAACATCGAGGGAAATGTCTGTCCGACAATGGTCGGTCGTAAAACCAGTTTAACTCCGTTAAGACTCCGAGCATTTTCCCAAAGCTGTGCATCACGCACGGCGAGCAAAACTCGTGGTCGGTTTGAAGCACGGAAGTACTTGATTAAAGATACACACATTCAACGGCGTAAGACCCCCGAACGAGCCAGCGCACCTCTTATCACGAGAGAGATTACTCTGGACAGTGTACAACAATTTAGGCGGAGGGACGAGCGCGGGGGGGGGGGGGACGAACGTGCCCAGGTACTTCTGGCCGTCGCAAGCTGTTCTAATCGAGTCCCCCCAAATGCCCGGAAACCGCCGCTGCTTCTTCCGCCGAACGACGCGAGAGCGAGAGAAAGAGGAACCGTAACCGAGAGGGTGGGATGCGAGCGAGAGAAAAGGCGGCCAATCCAATTCCGCGCTCAAGCCCGACCGTCGTGATGGCGGAGGGTGGCGAAAAAACGCAGCCACGGTCGAAGCGCAAGGCGGGCGGTAGGTCTCCGGGCTTTTTTTGCGTTTAATCAAGGATATTCGCGGTCGGCTGGCTCGCTATTTCAGTCCGCCGAGTGTTAACCGAGGCGCGCAACCACCACCGAGTATCATACCGCAGAAAGTGGATGAAGGAATCTTCGTCCTTTGACCTCCCGGGGACCCGCTCCTGCCTCACAATCGCCCGTAACGGTCCTTGTTGTAAATTACGCTGCCTCGTTGTTTTTACTTCTCGTGTCATATTCTTGAGCTTTTCGGAACGATCAGTTAAAACGGTATTCGGCGTTGTTGACATATAAAGCGGCTGTAAAGGAACAAAATAAATAACAGATGTCATTGTGAAATCTCGGGATTATGTATTCTCTTTATCAAAATACTATTTTAATACTATACTTAAAATATATATAAGACATAAATGACATTAATAATGTTTTCTAATTTATTTTCATAATCAGCATTTATTAAGCGCGAGGATAGATCATAAACATAACGAGGATCCTGTTCCAATATAATGAATCGGAATCGGATTAATTTTGTTGAATTGGATAAAGACCTCCTGCAAGACGCTAAGGAATCATTCGATTCGTAGAATCTAATAAAATCGATTAGAGGCGCGACACCCCTTTCACTGCCATCATGATAGTCTAGACGTGATGTAGCAGGAGACGACAGCTCTAATTTCGTCCTTAAGTATCAAATATCTTCGCTGTCACTCTCGTAAATTACTTTATCCCGATGACGCGTTGATCGTCGAAAACACCCTCTGAATTTTGAATGGGTCACTGACATCTTTTCTATCGTGAAAATATAATTTTCTATTGCGGAGATTTCACAGCGATCTTCCATAATAATTGTTTGAAATTGTACGTCGCAATTCAAGGAATAATCATGTTTTATCGTTTATTACAAATGTGAAAAATTCTGCGAGAAAAATATGTGATAGATAAAATAACGCAGAACAAACAAAAAGTTTTATCATTACATTTATAAGAGAACCGTCTTCTTTTAAACATGTCCACTGTCGAATTACAAAACAAGGATTTATATAGGTACTGTTTAATTAAAAATAAATTAAAATATGGAAGTTATAATTAAAGAGCACCGCTTACAAGATAATCTCCATTAAACGCTACTTTAGTACAACAGGAAACAAGTGGCGATAATACCCGGATTCCAGGAGTATATCAATGCTCGGATAATGGTGCGAAGGAGCGAAAGGGTTGCTCCTTCAAGGGTTAAAGCCGTGATAATCATGGATGACGCTGGTCGAAACAATGCGCCCGGCATCCGTCGTCCCGGTGCAGGGCGTGAGTTTCGTCTACGGGTTGGGGGGGGGGGAGAGGTGAAAAGCGGGGGTGATGTCAGAGTACGGTGATGTATGGCTGAAGCGAGCTCAGGAAATACCATGTGCCCTGCCACCTAGCACACAGCAGTCCGTAAGGATTAGGGTGGCGACCTACTATATTCTGCAACGCACCGTTTCGCGATGCAATTGGATTCCTTTGACCGTCAGCACCCTCCCTTGCAACCCTTAGATCCGTCGTCACCGACCATCGCTTTAACTGCGGGATCATCGTTCTCATATTTATGGAATTTTTTCTGTTGAATATTTTATGCGGAAGGGCATAACTGATTTAGCATTGATGCGATATAATAATCTCTACAATCAATAATAATCTAATTGAGTATTATATATTAAATAATGATATAGGTTTCACGGCATTAAATTAATCTGATATCTAATTCATTTTTTTAGTCTAAAATAAAGTGTAATTAACATAATATTGTTACAATTATAAAATATGTGCAGAAGAACATATTTATGTGCTATATTTTATGAATACTTGAAGACAGATTTATGCATGACTCACACCATTTTTACGGAGTAAGTATCATTCGTTGATAATATTGTTTTTGTTCTTACCGACCGCATTAAGCGCGTACAATTTCTTTACTTCGCCGCAAATATATATTGTAGCGCCACAGGAAATGTATTGAATTCATATATGCCAAGTAAGAAAATAAGAATGCCAGAGGGTCAACACAGAGGGACATTACAGTTTCATATTGCACCATAAAAGAATGACTGATCGAACATCTGTGATAAACATTTATTTCATTTTAGTTTTCTTATTATCGTACAATGAAGCAAAATCATATCATGCTGTGGTCATTATCCATGGAGTGCTCACTGGAAGTGATAGCATGGAACTTATTAGCAACAGAATTCAGGAGGTAAGCAACAAGTAGAGTAAAAATAAAACAAAAGCTGTTATATATATATTGCAACATCATTGTTGGATTCATCAAAATGGCACATTGATTTCCCAATTACAATTCTGCATAACTTAGGCAAATGAATATTTTTGTCTTATTTTTATTTATGATAGAATGTTTTATTGGAATTGGAAATTACTTTGTGTTATTTGTGTGAGTAAATGTACATTATATGATATTTTATTATCCATATGAGTGGCTTATCATCATTCATATATATGTATGTGTTTTACACAGTTTTGCATATCACTAATTGTGAATTATTCATATATTTTTATATATGTTATGGCCATTGTTCTAAGTAACTTATAGATAGATTAGTAAAAATTTTATCTTTCTAATTGTGATATATTTTCACAGATTCACCCTGGAACCCCAGTTTACAACACTGTCAGATTTGCAGGCTGGAGCAGTCTGGAACCAATGTGGCAACAGGTAGAAGAATTAGGCACAGATGTACTCTCCATAAGTGCTGCATATCCAGAAGGAATTAATTTAATAGGTTACAGTCAGGGTGGTTTATTAGCTAGAGCAATATTACAAAGGTTTCCTATGCATAATGTGAGAAATTTTATTTCTCTAAGCTCGCCACAAGCTGGACAATACGGAAGTATGTAAAATTATAGTGTCCAAAAAGAAAGGAACAAAAGCTTTATTCTAATTATAAAATTTTTTGTTTCAGCACGTTTCCTGCATTTGATTTTCCCAGATCTAGTTTGCGAAACTGCTTACGAACTCTTCTATTCACGACTTGGACAACATACTAGTATTGGAAATTACTGGAATGATCCCCATCATCAAGTTAGTATAATCTATATTATAGAATGCATTATATTTTATTATATTAATATAAAAATTTGTCTTTTCAGGAACTATATTATAAATATAGTAAGTTTTTACCATTTGTGAATAACGAATCTGATGGTTTCAACAATTCCGATTATAAATCAGGTCTAACCAAATTGAAACGTATGGTACTTATTGGAGGACCAGATGACGGAGTTATTACTCCATGGCAAAGTAGTCATTTCGGATATTATGACAACAATGAAACTGTGGTAGATTTGCGTGACAGAACTATTTATGTGGACGATACAATTGGTTTGAAAACATTGGATAAGCAAAAGAAATTAAAAATTATTACTGTGCCAGGAATTCCTCATGCTGAATGGCATAAAAATATTTCTATAGTAGATCAATTTTTATTACCGTATTTAGATTAGCTCAATGATACATGGATAAAATTAGAACAATTTTTGCCAAATATAATAGGGAACTTAGATTATTAATTGGGTAAATAATTAAACAATTGTAAATTTATTAATCTATTGCCATGACATTTCTTGCTCTCATTTTATATGTAATCAAATTATAAAATTGTAAAAAATGTAACTTGAGTGTACATGTACAGCATGCGTATTGAGAGATTATGTCATATCATGTCAATAATATAATTTAAATGATATATCGGGAGAGAGAATATAAATCTATTTTACGGCTATGAAATATTCGAAATTAAGAGGCAGAATTATTTGTTATAAATGTATATACTTCGCAAATTGTTTAGGTGTACGACATGTCAATAAGAAAACGTTCATATTTTTACTTATTAATAAATTTATTAATTTTTCTATTATAAAATTAGATCTGTGTTCTTTTGTCTTGGCGAAATTTTTCAGAGTATTTTACATATCGCTGATAAACGTCGTAATATATTTAAATATTAAATATTAAATATTTCACATACATATTCTTATAAAAAATTTTTCGAGAGAATTCTTATTACATATATTCAGTACATTCGCATAATTATTTAAATTTTTTATTATGAGTAAAACGCGTGATGAGGTCTAACGCCCATTTTGGCTGATCTGAAGGAACCATGTGACCTGCATTTCGTACGAGAACCTCGATTAAATTATCAACAATTTTTGTATAACCCGCTATTTCGTTTCCAACCTTCCACATTTTTCTAGGCGTTCTCGCATATTTCTTTGCTCCCGACCATTGTAAATGTTGTAAGAAGTTCTCCGTGAGCGGGTATGCGACGATAATGTCCAATTGTCCGTTGTAGATAAGTACTTTGTAGTGTTCCAGAAGATCTGTCAAGAGATCTGTTATGGATCGCATGACGTCTGCTTTCAGATATTTCTCAACGACGCTGGTTTCATAATGAAAGGTGCTGTTACCAACATGTATAGCATGTCTAACATCGTCTCTTTGAATCCATTCAGACATCCAATCGGAATCATTGCCGTCTTTTGTATTCAAATAGTTAAAATAATAGTCGAAGCCAGTTAAATTGTGAAACAAGGATGGAGTGCTATTTAAATCGCCGTTAAGGAGCAGGTCAAATATTTCAAATGCTTCGACGTATTTCTTCTGTTTAATCAAGTCGCGACCTTTTTGTTCATACATTTGAAACTTCTGTTTTCCATTTAAATCAATCAGACCGATTTGATACAAATAGTCGCTGTACAGCAATTGATTCTCAGGATCGCACAATCCATTGCCGATAGCTAAGCCTTTCAAGTTTATTTTTGTATCTGTTTCGGCATTGAATTCTTTAATGGCATGCGATACTGCTGGCACATATTTGCCAGCATATGATTCACCGGTGACAAAGAAATCATTGTTTTGCAGCTCTGGGAATAACTGAAAGAATTGCACCAGAGCAGTGTGAATATCTTTTCCTACATGAGATTCATTCGTAGCATATCCTTTCTCGTTATCAGTGAAACTGTAACCAGTGCCGACTGGATTATCAATGTAGATTAGGCTATGTCCCAAGTTCCATGAGTATTTCCGCTTCTCTAGTCTTATGTTCTTGTTCACTAAAAATGGACCATTTTCCATAAAAAGACCAAACATAGAAGTTGCTCCCGGGCCACCTTGCAGCCATAGTACTACTGGCGCATTCTTTGGATTATACTGTAACATACAAATTATTTTTATGCAATTTTAATTTGAACAATTTCAGCTTATAGCAAGTATTATTTATATTATTGTAGGATGATTAACTCAACGGCGTGGATTGACAGTAGAAGATAACGATTCGTGATTCTGTGACCCTCGCTCACCTCAGACAAGATGAGACCGGAGGTAGAAATAAAATAAATACTTTTTTTACAACACACTGTAAGTCGTTATAACTTGAACTTCTATATTATAATTACTAATGAAAAGTATAAAAATTTAACAGTCTCTACACATATCACATAATGTCAGACTTGTAGACTGCACGTTGTAATGCATACAGAAGTATTTTCAAGATTTTTGTATTACATGTATATGATTTGTAAAAATACAAGAATATTTGAGGATATTTTATGTGATCGACTTTACAAGCAAATTTTGACGGCGATGAATCTGCTTATTATATGCAAGATTTGATGCAAGATTATTGATTACTTACCATAGCCGGAAAGAACCAGAAAAAGAGATTGGAGTTGTATTCTTTATTAACTGTGAGATAACCCGCGTAACTGCTAACATCGTACATTTCTTCATGCGAGACGATTGCCTTTACTCGCGCTTCCTCAATCTTTCCATTTTCTATTAAAGGCGTCAGAAAAAGCGGCGCACCAGGATTTGTTTCTTCAGCGAGGGGAAATCCTTTTAATTGTGGATATATTTTCATGAATCCATTTGCACTTTCGTGTGATAATATAAAGAGCAATGTGCTCAAAATTAGAACGAATGCACTGATCATGTTGCTGGTTGCGACTGATGCCGCGTCTCGCTGTGAAATTGCTTGACTACACGAACAACTTATCGGCGACTGTCGCCAATAAACTGATATCACGATTCTCTTTGTCCTTGCCGATACCACAGATGACACGCGGTGAGCACGAACAATAACATCCGTGATGACTAAACACGCCGCGCCAAAACATCGCGTTTGTTGGATCGCGTGAGAAAAATTCCTGCAATTAAACAATTATTGGTCCTCATTATTCGAATTTGATGAAAAAACTTTTAGCCATCTAATGTAAATACTTACTAAAATTTACTCTATTGATTTCCGCTAAAGTCCGAGTACACAAAATTATTCTTTGAGGCGTCGAATTTTATCATTCAACGATGCTATTATTTTTTGGTATGATACAAAGCTTTTTATGCGGCACTTTGATGAACAACGTGTAACTAATCAATCTTTCTTTGTTATAAATTAATGTTACAGTATAATATAAGGAGTAATTGCCCAGTGCATCAATTTTCTGATCTCGAACATGGCATTGCCGCCCAGTATGCGATCAGCTGATCGTCTAACCTAAGTTTTACGCTTCTTCGCGTTCAAGTTCACGTTCGCAGGCGAGAGAAGGTTAGCGCGACGTTTACTATATTTAATTCCGGATGTAGTTAATTGCTCACATTGTGCGTTGTAAATTTGCGAATGCTTTGTATATCGTGTGTGCTTGACATCACTAATTCAGTAACAAGATATTTGTGTTTTGTAATTTACGAGTACTGCATTTTTTTATTTGTTATTGTAACTTTATTTATTATGTCTAAGAATGTATTATTATTTTATATTTTTTTTACCTTTTCAGTTATCGTGGTATGTCTACTGTAGACATCACAAATATTTACATACGTTCATCTACAGACATCCAAAATGAATGATTCCTTCTTGGAAGAGCTGGAGTTATTACCCAAAGAAGCAAAGAAAAGCAGTCAAGTGGATCGTCATATAACTACCAGGCATGCTACTTCATCTCCATTACTTCATTTTTCTGAACAAAGTGAGAGGGATAATGTAAAACGATCACAAAAGGATCCTGACATTGTAACAACTCCGATTATTCCTGATGTAAAAATTACAAGCAGCAAAGATTCCTCTAGGGATTCCAAGAAACAATTGGATCAGAATGTAAAAAGACATTCTGTAAATATAAAAGTATCAGAAAAACCTGACAAAGTTACAGGAAAGCCTGTTGATGTGAGAACAAAAATGGACAATGAGAAGCAGCAGAGTATTAGCGGAGAACACAAAGTAAAATCGCAAGATGTAAAATATCTTAAAATGCCTGAAAACAAAATCAGAAACAAAGATCGTAATCGACATTCTGGGTCACATAAGGAAACCACTCATTCCCTGAATACTTCTACTAAAGAGAACAGACGTTCCCCTGACTCTCTCAACAGTCATTCCTCGGATACTTCTAGTAAGGAAAATAGCCGACCCTCAGATTCCTCCAAAGAGACCGGTTTTCGGGATTCAATAAAAGAGAAGGGAAAGTTACCTGATAAGTCGAAAAAATCAGTTTTCAAAATACAAGACCAAGATCCAGTCGCTTTGCTTACAGCTATCAAAGAATTGATAAGCACATATACCAAGCAGGAAAGCACAAAGATTCTACGTACCATGCAGGAGCTCCATGTCAATTCACAAGCAACTTTGATAAAAAGTCTCTTGGACCAAACAGATGATTTAATTATAGAAATGCATCCCAGCAAAGATTCCGCTAGAGTGAGAGCACTGGTTGAGGAGAATGAACGGTTACAGCAAGAGTTGATTGCTTTGCGAATGCAAAACGAGGATCTGCAGAATAAATTAGAAAAGCTTGAATTTTTGAAACAAGAAAATACGATGAATTAATATAAGCGTAATCGCGATCGCGCTTAAATAAATATTCTTTTAATACGCAAAATGCCAATTATGACGTTCATGATGCATTTTAACTGTTTGCCATTTTAAGAAACGTATATCGCATGTTGTAAGACTGGGAAAAAAAAGTTATTCTTGCTTGAGGAAATTATATTTACTATTTAACTATTAATATCCATATTTAACTTTATCTAATATTTAATCGTGATAATCTAAAAAATAATAACATGCTATCATTTAAGTATTAATCATTATAATATGATAAAGTATAAGAGGCCTTATTAAAATTTAATTACACCATTGTTAAAATAATTTATTTTTATACTATAAAATGTTAGATATAATAGCTCACATATACGCACACTTTTTAAGAAGAATGTAAGAGTTGTTTCATATTTTCTATAATAAAATATACTTAATAAACAAATTTATATTTGCTTATAAAAATTTATTTCTCTGATTACATTTCCAATTCCGTTTTCCACAGTTCCTAATATTAAGAAAAGTATTTAGAGAATGTATGTTTGAAAATGTTGTAGCGTTGCATTAATGAGCCGATATACATATATATGATATACATTTTTCTATATACATATTATTTAAATATATATTTAAATGTATACAAATATTTTTAATTTCTTTCTTGCGAGACACATTTTTCATTAAATATTTAAGAAGTGGACGTCATGACTAATTTGCCAAACTACATGGCTACATACTGAAACTTAAAAAAACGTATAAAAAAGTTTGAAAAGCCATCATATCGGTGACAAGAAATTCACGATCAATAGCTTACAAATAACTTCATATTACAATTTTAAATGCATATCTAAGCACATATTTCATTAAGCACACAAACTTAAATGTATATATCTAAACACATATTTCATTAAGCACACAAACTTCCACGATAAAAGCACTTCAAAATAATTGCACTGTTCGTTGATAGCTAAACTCATTTCTAAAAATTTTTTATGACGCTAATGTTAACATATTGCAAAAATTCTTGGAAAAAATTATAATGCATAGTAAAAATGCACGTATTATAATAATAACATTTTGTAACTAATAGATATGTGTATTTATTCACGAACAAAGATATTTCTCAAATATTTATATCTATGTTATGCTCTTTTTGGTATATAATTTTTAAGATAAGAACAGTCATTTCGTTATTTTTTATTTTACAACAAATAGGCTCATACTGAATTCCTGAGTTCTCTTACGATAAAAGCTATCTTCTTTTCCACATTTGAAAACTTATACACGAAACTATTATTATATGCAAGTTTTATCCACAACATCATTCACATTATTGAGACAAACTCTTAAATTATATTACAATGAGAAATATGCTTTCTCTTTCTCTTTCCCTCTCTCTCTCCTGCTCTATGTATGTTAACGTATAATATATTTTTTATAAATAGCGTGATACTATTGTAAAATATGTAATCGCGAAACTTTGGTCGGAAAGCTAGTTTTTCAGCAATATAAACTGTTGAGCTTTCTTTGAATTTTTGTGCTCGAAAAATCTTAATAATTCTTATCAACAAAGAATATTTATAAATCAGTATTCATAAGAGAAATATGCAAACATGCATAAACAACGCAAGTTTGTTGTTGCACAAATTCAAAAGTGTTTCTCAAGCTTGAAAGTTTAGTTTCTTTGGCAATTCCATTTTAAACAGGACGTGTGTCCTTGTATTTCTTAATAATGCGATTCTAAAAATGACTTTCATTATAAATGTTATTTTGTTCGTCTGGCAGAGAAAAACCTATTCCAAAGAAATGCATTCCAGGTTTCCCATATTGAGTAATATTTGCACACGTGCAATCAATTATTTAAGAACTTTCTTTTCCTCCTTTCGTTCTACGGTTCAGTCACGATGAGAGTGCTCTTCCTGTCTTCTTCCTTCTCGTCCTTCTTCTTCGTCTTCGTCTTGATCTTCGTTATCGGTTCTCTCCCCTTCTTCAGGTGGTCTCGTCCACCTAACAAAATGATCTTTTTAGAATGATGTTTGATGTATCATTAGTAATCAATTGTATCATTATTTAATCAATTATTACTCCGTCTATAAAGTCTTTTGTGTTAAATTTAAATCTGTTTCATGCATATTCCAAAATAGTTGTGCTTTTACATATAACAAAAATTATAAGCGTTCTTAACATCTATAATTCATACATTATATAGGACCAAAGTTTAACCTGATTAATGTTTCCGGTGATCTGTAGAGGAAGATTAATTTGGCAAACAAGTCTTCTTCGAGACACAAGTCGCCACTCTCGCGGACCAAGTAGATATCTAAGCAGAGACGAAGGATTCTGTCGACGTAAGGCAAATCGTCGAACATGATCTTGGGCGCCATATCACTGACAATCTTTCGCATCATCTGGCTTATGACTATCACCGCCGTGGTATATAATCCTAAGATCCTATTTGCCAATATATAATTTTTAATTAACGAATCATGATAATTAAAATTTTATAAAAATGTCATAATTTTTCGTAAAATTTTGTCGTAAGACTGTCGTTAGATTATCGAACTTACCCGAATCCACTGAAGAAACTTAAGCCCTCGGGGAAGGCTTTATCATTGAATAGGAACATCATGATATATTTGCAGTCATTTAATGGTACATTCATCAAGATGTCCTTGTACAACTGATCTGTGCATTCTTCATGGACTATCCACCATTGTTGATGAGCACAACAATCCTTTTCCGTCGATAACTGAATACTGATGTTTCTATAGATGTAACTGTCGTCTTCATCGTCGTCTATTAGCGCTAGAAACACAAAATATGTAATATTTTTGTTTTTAATACTGTTCTCCAATAATGTTCAAGTATACTTACATAGACGTCGCCCTCGCATTAATTGTGGAACAACATTGGTGGTTCTAGCAGTGACTTTGAGGAATTTCGGGAAAGCGCTTTGCAATGTTATGGATGCATTCATTCCGACAGGATCTTCTTTTAACATATCCACTAACGTTTGTCTTATAGGATTGAATTCTCCATTTACAAAAGGCGGTAATTTTATGTCACGAATTGTCGTGGTGATTCCAGTGGTATCTTTAGCATCTGTTTTTCTTGAAACCATCCATTCCACATGTATAACCACTGTCGTGATGTTAGAAGCCAGTTCTGCTTTCAATCTGAGAACAAAATTATAATTTTTTTTAAACCCTTTTATAGAATAAAAGCTGTGTCAATGTTATCAATCCCTTTTTCAAGAAAAATAATGAAACATTTCTGCTAAATATACTCAGATTTTTGATTATAGAACAAACCTGTTTCTATCGGGTGGCGAAATTCCCCACAGTTTTCTTGAAAAACCACTGAATCTTACAGCGGCTACGTCCGAATGAACGTAATTTTCGAAGAAAGTAACCGCTGATCTATCTGTAGAATATAAATCTGTAAGATGTTTGTATTCATCTTTCTTATATTCCATGATAGAACTGCCCTGCGCCGACATAGAGTAGATGGGCTCATACGGGCCGATTCGTATTTTCATGGATACATCGTAAGGCAAGTTTGATATGCCAACGGTGCTACCAAGCGCAAAGAGGAGCAGAGGGAACCAGATTAAACCGATTATGAGTAAGAGAGCACTCCCGCCTACTAAGTATTTGCTCATTTGTTTTTTCTTTTCTCCTCGTGGCTGAGGGAAGTCCGATTCGACACCCCTCATGCACTAAAATTTCACAAAATGTTATAATTTTTATGTGTTATACATGTGTGAAGAATATTATCATATAACTTAATGTTTCGACGTTGAAGAATAATTAATTGTACATTTTTTTCTATATATAAATATTAGATAGAAAGTGTTTCGTACAAATTATATTTTTTATAATGCGTACCTTGATTTGATAAATACTAGCAAAGATATCTTCCATTTTAAACCAGTCCATTATAGTCATGGATGTATCAGTCCAAATCCAATCCATCACTGCCCGAAGTTCGAAGAGAAACGGAACTAACATAAACCTGCGAGATTAATTTTAAGTCAATACACAGAAATAATGTAAGTACTCTTTAATAAACATTTTACCGACCCTTTGAATAAAACATAATTCACGATGCTGTACTTCTTGCACAGAAAGTTACCCAGAATTCGTGTCGGGTATCCTTGTCGCAATTGATAAGCCGCTAATAATAAATAGAAGCATTTCACCATGTACCATATTTGTGGCGCAAGTTTTTCGTTGAATTGTCTGTAATCATAAATATATGATGCATTCAATATATATAAACGTTTAGAAAAAAATAAAATAATACCTTACCTTTCCGTTACGCTCGGTAAAATGAAAAACATCCATAGATGAATACCAAATACCAAGCAGCACTGGAAAATCAATTTTCCCACGATAGACTTTCTAAGAAAGAGAGCTCTATCGATGACTATTAAAGCAAATTGTAATAATAGCATCAATAGAAAGGGCATAGGAACTCGATTTTCTTGAAAGTAAGCTGCTACTCCACCGTCGCCTTGTTGAGTCTAAAATTAATAAATGTTACATCAATATACATTAATAAATATAAATAATTTTCTCAATTTTACGAAGTGCTCTCTTACTCCGAATGCAGAGAATCCGAAGATCAGCAAAAGAAAGTTGAAGAAGTCACAAAGGAACATATAAGCGTAAACATTTGTTTTTTCTTTGCCGACTGGACTGATAATTCTCTCGAAAAAGTTTTTCATTGGTTCCGCGTATTTTGTCACGCTGCAAAATTAGAAAATTAAATTTTAACGTGTGTTTTAAGATGTTCAAATTCTTTAAAACACTATCGCTATCAATTTATTACACATACAATATTAAAAACTAATATCTTTTTTTTCAAATTAATAAATACACATGTTACACTTAAATGAAAATATATCAATAGCTATTTACGTCATATCCATCGTTTTTGAAAACGATTCACTGAGAGGATGCACTTCTTCTCCTTGCACAGCCACAAGTCTTTCATTATCGTCTGTTGTCGATGGGATACCGTCTGCGTTATCCGTTTCATGGACGCTCAAAATTCGCCCTTGTGGCGTCTTTACCTCCCCATGAGAACTGCATGATGAAAAATTAATAATATATTTACAATCGAAATTTCAGATATTGCAAGCATTAAACATTTTGTTTAGCCATAATTGCGACGTACTCGGTTTCTTCCTGCGTGCTAGGCTCTCCTTGTCCTTTGTCTGCAGACGGTGGTTTTGATGGTACCACGGTTAATTGAGAAGGAATAATTCTCCGCGGTTTTAACGATGGGGCTGTCCATTGACCCAAGGATTTTAGCATAAATCTACAAGTCAATCGTATTATAATATTTTTTATAAAATATGAATTGACGTGTTATTCAATGTATCTTATCATTTACCTATGGAAGAATAGCATAAGAAGTAGCAACAAATCCCAAAGAGCGTAATTTTTCCTTTTCAGAATGCCCATAATTCTTGGTAAATACAGTGGATAATTTGGCGGAGCAACTTGATTCCAAGGAATCAATTCCAATTGAAAAATGCATTTTATTATGACAATGGCCTGAAAATAGCGATTTTTATAGCATAACAGTTTGGTCCTTACACATTTGCATTCAGATTGCAAATTACAAAACTTATTTCTTACCTCGATATAAGCAATCAACGTCACCCAGAAAGTCTTCGAAGGTCGCGGAATTGTTAAAGAGCCCCACAAGAATACCATAAATGGCAACGGCGTGGAGAGTACAGAAGCGTTCTTAATTTGATGAAGGAACACCATAAAATAACAAAGCAAACTAGAGTGTGCCAGGATTCCAAACCAGATAGATGCTGCTAGCTGTATGATAGGCGGTTGATCCACTTCTGAGAGTTCTCTGACTTCTTCGTCTTGTTGAATCGCCAAAGCTTGCGAAAACAGCGTACTGCATACATAAAATCTTCCAATTAATTATATACTTTAGTTTAAACAAATTGTTTAACACAAATTCCTAGAAGAAAGATGATCTGTATATATTTTGGATTTTGTAGCAAAAATATCTTTGGATGCCAAAGTTATACAATAATGTATAAATTACAAGGATGCATCTTTCTTCTGTGGCAAATCAATATCAAAAGCACACTTAAAGCCCAGCTCAGGAACCATGAAGTCACACCTGAAAATAGAGCTGAAGACATTCGAAAAGATTACAGCATTTGCTACAGTGGACATCGTTGGTGTTTCTGTCGTCCACTGTGCTCGTCAAAAAAACACAGATTATTCATTACAAGCCCATTTTTTTGGCATGATCGTGTGTCAGGAAGCGATCCTTTTCCGTTTAAAGAAACGCCACAAAATGTAAATGTAATAAAAGGGAGGAAAGGATAATTGAAGAATTACGTCAATACGTGTTACATGCGAGGACAGGCGTGCAAATAATGCGTTTAAAACAGAAAAAAAGAGACCGAGCACATCGAGATGCCTGAGTTTCACGACACAGTTTTGGTACCTGGAGGAGGACATGTCCAATCCTCGCTCCAAACTCGGCGCCAGGATTCGGATGTGCGGTACCGTCAGCGTGCTCTCCTTCCTGACACAGACAACACCATGCTCTTTCTACGTTTACTTCGTACAGGTACATTTTAACCGCAAATAATTCTCAAGATATCCTAAGACATTTACAATTATTAATTCCACCAATCAGACATAATCGAATTTTAAGCAAAAACATAGATTAAGATAAGTGAAAGTAAAATAACGTTAAAGACAACGGAATATTAAATCAAAGGATGATCTGTATTTTTATTATCTCTTCGCCTTATTCTAATCTATCATTTCGGCTAATCGGCCATTATTTTGGATTTTTCTATAATACTTAAAGGACCAAATATCATAATTAAACGTTGATGTCTTGCAAATCATTTGAGATTAACAATTCTGTTAGATTGTTAGAGGCAACTTTGAAATAAAACTTATTTTTCATTCTTGTGACTTTTTTGTGCTAAGTCGATAACCAGATTATATCGACCCCTATCATATCAAGTAATTTTGATCTAGCCCGAAGCCGTTTGGGGTGGCGCGCTATGTACTCTAATAGTCTATCTATTAGGTCAACGACCGACCTTGCACATGGTCTTCCACCCACTACTGGCCATTGACCAGATGACGTAGTACGTAACGTCTACACGCACACACTCAAAAGTGGTGCGCCCGCGCTCGATTTTTAAAACGTTGTATCTCAGCGAAAAATTGACGTAGCGACATGCGGCAAAAACGGATCTTTTCTGCTTCGCGTCCCGCAGATGTCTATGATGAGCATATATGCTCTTATCATGACACCTATATATGTAGTATAATTATCAGTGTGTTTACTTACAGTATATTATCAGTATTATACTTCTGTAGGTACACGTAAAAATTTTATATAAAACAATGGATTATGAAATAAATATATCTAAAGATGTCATCCATCAGTTATACTATATTATACTTATTTGTTTACATAAATAATATTCACGTGTTTAGTTAAAGAGGATTCCAGTTTCTCAAAAATTGTTTAAGTATTGATATTAATCTATCAGTATTTGAATATTTTTTTACATTTTTCTATGTAACTTGTTAAAATTTATTATATATGCCATAGGGACTTACGACAGAGTCAATCCAGCATCCATGAATTGCTTCTTATATTTTTGATACCACGCGAATAGCATGCTGCTGGTCAGAAGGGACATCACAGATCTCACAATCAGCTACATGATTTGTCGTGATTTTTAATAGGGCTCGGATCTTTTCGCCGTAGATTAACACACTCGAGTTCGCGTGAGATATTCAAGCGTAATAAAGCATATTTTAAATGTTTTTTAAATTTTGCTTAACCTTAATTTTCAAATAAATTATGAAATTATTTTTATCAAAAACAAGAAAAATTGAATTTAGAAAATTAGTTTAAAATAAATAAAATAAATATTATTTGTTACAATTATAATATAATTTAAACGTTTAACTAAATTTATAAATAAAATAAAATAGACAAATACAGATAAAATTTAAAAGGATGCAAACATGATCTTGCAAAGAAATGACGACGTCTTATTTGCATCACCTAATACGAATAAGTTGAATGAATTTTTAATGGGGTTAGTATTGGTATAATAAAGTAGAAGTAATCTTAACTACATACAATAAACCATAATTTTACTGTTAAAGCATTTCACAGAAAATGTAAGCCCTTACCTTTCTTCCTGCGGGCGTGATTGGCTTGGACCTTCGCCAGGATCAAGCGTTTCCTCCGTATTGCCGTTCGTAGCCGATCTGTTACACAGCGAGCACATTTACTACTGGCATCTACGTATTTTCTTTTTATTTTGAAATCGCTAAACATTGCATATCGCTTTTTATACTTACACATTATTTAACCGGTATTAGAGTTTTTATTAATTTATGGACTAATAGAGAGGATACCGAAAAAAAGCAACAAAGTTATCACAAGTGTTCTTTGACGGCGACTAATTTTAGAGTATATCTACTTTGCGACATTAAATGCCAAGAAATTAATTCCTTATCGCATAATTTTGTCATAATAAATTATTCACTATCGTACAATCATATGTAAAAGTGAATAAAACAATATTTTTAATCGTTAGTTCACAAATATGTGAAATACATGCGATAAAGTATTAAAAAATAGGGACATAAATAAAATTATGTAATGTATCCAGATAAAGTCCCGACGTTTTGCAAAAGTGGACTTGTACGTCTGTTTATGTAAAACATATGTGCAAATAATAGCCATAAAAATGATAAATAATTTACGCAACTACGTATGTACAAGCAGATGCTTGAAAAGCCAGAAGAATATAGCGTGAAATTAATTAATATCCCTATGAAAGCGGCTTCTGACTAATAGATGATATAAATTTACCTAGATAGCAGGAGGATACAAAATTTTTCGCGACGCTAATAATAATAAATATACAGTCCCTTAATCTTGATAAATAAATTTAATCTTACGATTGGAAGAATTCATGGGAGCAAACTTACCGTTCTTGTATCATAGGTAACGGCTGCCACATTTGATTAATTCCTAGTCGCGTTCCCATTCTGAAATCTGGCTTCGCCTAAACATAATAATCGACACAGTATTGCAATGCGATATTTGACAAAATACGAATGTTTACGTGCCTGCAATTATTATATTTCTCTAAATAACGATTTATACATACCTTTAGAGTTTTTTTCTCTTTCGCTAAAACTTTGCGAATGTATCTGTAATCATGGGAGAATCGATTTAGGTATTTCGTCATTGAAATGAGGGTGCTGTTGATCATCACCAAGAGAAACTTGAAGTATGTAGAGAACGAAACTTTTTTCTTGTCCTCTTTCTCCTCATCGCTCTTCTTGTCTCCCTCTTTCTCTTCTTCTGCATCCGAAGGTTCTGGTGTTTTAGCTAAGTCTGTAATCTCTTTCTCTTCCGTTTCCATTTCTACTGAAGTGAGACTCGTCCGATCGGGACCCTAATGCATTTTTTTAAAATTTAGTTTAACATATTAAACATTGTCACACGGTGCTGAAACCGTGATAGCAAACTTGAAAATAATCAAATCTGTCGAGCGAAATGTGAAAGTGCATATTAAAGTGCATCGTGCAATAATGATTATTCGAGTATTAAGTATTCGAATAATTATTATTTTTCTATAAAAATTCAGAGATCAAAGTCAAGATTTTTAAATACTATTAGATTCAAATTAATATATTTGGTGTCTTGTTAAATTCGTTATCATATAATTTTTTATTTAAATAATTATATATGTAAAATATCGACAGTTTTTAATTATAATCAAGATTTATACAATTGATTATTTAATAATTGTTATATATGTATGTACTCTTACTGTACAATAAGCGTACAATAAGCGTGCAATTACAAGAATTACAATAAATTTAAAAACTGTGAAGTAAAGCTGGTTTGTGTACAATTTTTTTTGTACATCATCGACGAAGTACCTCGTCGTGGATTTGCGATTATAACATATAAATTAATTAAAAGTAAGTACGATGTTAAACGATGCGAAGGCAATAAAGACAACAGCAAGATTTCGCTTCCAATATTGCTTCTACGAAGCCGAGAGCTTAGGAGAGAAGAAAGGAATTCTCATCGAGAACTAAAAGCATCGTACAAATGTGAGTGATCTAATCGCCATTATCACAGAATACATTGTTGTTACCGTTTTATATTATGTGTTATCGTATTATATTATATTTAATAAAAATAATACCGCATAATATATAACAGTAAAAATACTGCAGAGAATATGCGTTAAAATATAAATTAAATTGAATAAAATTATTTTGTAAATTGTATTGGAAAAATACGAGAAGAATAATATTAAGGCGAAAATAATAAAAATACAATAAATTATGTTACTGTTAAGATAAAATAGAACTAAGATATAAATAAAATAGAGGGAATTCACAAGGAGCAGCACAGATTATTTTAACTGAACAAAAAAGCAATAATACAGTGAAACAAAACAAAAAAATACAGTAGCACTAAAAAATGATAAATTTTATAAAACAATAACCAGTAACCAAATCCTATTATTAATGAGATAGACCGCAGTTGATTTTTCTTAAACAGGGAGTTAATAATACATATATATATATTAAAGTTAAATATAAATATATATATTTTTTTAGAGTTTATAAAAAAAAATGCAAATTTAAATTTTAAATTTGCATTTATATATATATATATATATATATGTATGTGAGAAATAAGTCTCCCTTAAGAAAGTCAACCGCACATTGCATCAACAGTGAGATCCGTCGTTTGCTCGACAGCTTTGCTTTTTGGAGACAGTATTATATAGAAAGGTAAAAAGAGTGACGATTATATGCAGATGAGTGCCTGCAGCGATCATGCAGCCTTTTAAAGGGAAAGGGGATGTCTCACATCGGTAGCCATGGCAGTGTCGGTCTCGGAGCGAGCGCTCAAATAGGACATGGACGATTTCTTCCGTGTCAAAGGTACGCTTCTACGTCGGAGTCTCAGGGCGTCCTTTTCGGTCCCTCCGTACATGGCGACGTGCGTCGCGATCTCAATGTCTGTCTTAATCAGCGTGTTCATCAACTGCAAGGAGACTTACGTGTCAATTCTCGCGATTCACCATCCATCGATCGATTTCGTGCATCGTTGCCGGCCGGACGTGTTGCGTGATCCCCTCCACGAGGAGGAGAGAGAAAGAGAAAAAGGGGGACAATGCGAACTGACAGTGCGAATTGTAGATTTAGAGCGAAAAGATGTGGATAATAATAGCGTATGAGGAGAGATTTTGGTTGCAATCATCACATGAAGAAATCCGCCTATCTTGCAATAGTCCATCCAAAATACTTTTTCGGAAAAATTTCAAAACATTTTTTCAGAGGATTATTATTTTGTAAATTGAAAAAAGAATAATGGCGCTTTCTTTCTATAGACACGAGAAACACACAGAAGATTTTACATGATTAATATTGAATACTTAATGATTTTCGAAATTTCTCCAGACAGCCTCGATGGACTATAATATCTTGATTAGAGAATTAGTAAAACTTAACAAGAAACCTTCATTGTTTCGACCGAATATTCACAGCATAGTCAAGTTAATACCGGAATCCTTGAGAAATCAAAATCAGTGAGTAATCCGATGCATATGTTTCTCAATTTTACATACCTCGGAGACAGTCATTCTCCTTCCCCGTTGCTCCTGTTCGCGGCGATGTTCCTTCTCCCTTCGGTCGGTGTCGCTGTCGGGAATCAAATCGGTGACGTCGTCATCATCCAAATCATCAAACATGTAGTAGTCGCCCGATCTGATAGCTAGTGGAAAAAGAATTATCGATTTTTTTAACAAGTCTACTCGTGCTCTACATAATTATAAAAGCCACGATAGCCATGCATACTTGATAAAGATTAGAAAAAGGTGCGAGGACGATTAAGCACTTTTTGATTATTATACTATAATTATTACATTTTTCGTATTAAGAACGTACAAATATACACACAAATGTTAATAGATTATTAGGCAACTTATTTATCGATACAGAAGCTATTTACAGGGTACACAAACTTTACGTTAAACTGTTCATCTTATATACAAGTCAAATTGTGCGGAATAGATCTGGGATCATCAGGACATCGGATGTTTTTTTAGGACAATAGCTGTAAAGAATATACATTTACCCTCTCTGTTGGTCGTCGGCGCACGAATTCTATATAACGGCCGCGTTCTTGGATAGAGTTCATCTAATAAGAAAACACAAAACATAAAATAAAGATAAAAACTGAAGAAGATTGATGCAGAGCACATATATATTACAATATATTACACATATGTTATATCAGTAATTTTCAATTGAATCCTTCGATTCCACTCTTTGCAACTGGATTTTTGGGAAATTACGACCTATTAATAAAAAAAACTTTTTTACAAAAAATTTATGTTTTTGTAATCTCTTCTAAAATTTAGAGATTACAAAATAATGATAAGTATTATGAATAATGATAGAGCAAAGGAAGTAAGGAATAATGCAAAAGCGGATGGTTCCAAAAAAAAAAAATTAAAATAAATTAATAGAATAGAGAAATGTATGTAGAAGTATTATTTCTATCGATCTTCAGATAAATAGATAGACCTGCAAATGTATAAACATTTATATACAATGGTATTTTTCACGTTTAACACGAGTCATACTAGCGATATATTCTACTATTCACAAGAGAAACACCTAAAGACACGGCCGCTCTTGTGACAAGACGAACATCGGACAAGGTGAAGTGTTTCATAGAAGATTTAAGTGAGCGTGAGGAAGCGTATGTACAGGACACCGTAGCACACTGGCGACGAGGACGCTGTTGCTGACGAGTGATTACACGTGTGATGCGAGCGCGGGGAGCGGGACGTCGTCGAGATGATCGACTGGCGCGGAGTGTGCAGGCCGCTCGTCCACGGCGGCCCGATCGGGAAGCTGGACTGACGCCGATGTCTCATGGAGGACGTGAGCGACCGATCGGCCGGACCGCGATCGTAAGGCGGGGGCGAGAACACCGGGAACGTCTCGTCCGGCGATGGTCCCCGCGGATTCAGCTCGCTACTGGGTGGCGAGCCGAATGAGATACGGGTCGGCTCGAGGTAGCCCTCGAGACTGACCGTCATCACGGCGGAATTCGGCGTGGGCGCCTGCAACAGGGACGCCGCGCGTGGCGTCAACGGGGCGGCTCGTCGTCGTCCTCGTCCAGAGGCGTCTGGTATCCTTGCGGCGGCGTGTGACCCGACACGCAAGAACTCACGCTGGGCGACCTCGCCAGCGGCGCCTGTCTCTCTTTTTTGACGCATTAAAGATACAGATATTTCGGGTATTATATCTGCCGCACGTAGTGATAGTGGAGCAATGGAGTGACAGTGATGTTAAGGAAAATGATGAATTTCGTGTTAATATGATGAAATTATTTGGAGATTAAGACGGTTAGAATAATGTCCTAGAGATCTTGAATGAAATTTGTCTTGCTTAAAATTAAAATGCTTGCAATAATATCACTGAAACGAAAGTTAAGTTTTACTTTTTGAAGAAAAGTGATATCCAGCCGGCGATTAATTCAAGATATCTCATGACCTAAATAAAAACTTGCAATCACTTTCTGAAGAACAAAGTTCATCAAAATTAGAGTTCTTCAAGATTGCTTTGACAAAACATTATTTAAAAACAATTGTCTTACCGACTTTGTGAGTCTGGGGCTCTTTGTAAGACGGTCCCTGTATCTTTTGTTGATTGGCCTTGATCTTGTCCATCTTGAACTTCAGCTTTTCTAAAACGGTCTTCTCCACATTCTCTTGGATTTCTATACGCTTCTGATGCAGCTCCTCGAGTAGCTCCGCGCCGCGAGACGCTAGAATGCTCATAGCTTTTGTCTCGTCTACTATGTGGAAGAAGTAGTAGCTTTTGAAGAGTCGTTTTTGTATCAAGAGAAAGCTAAAGCACAATCCATCCCAAACCATGCCGATGTCCTCACGGGAAACGTTACAATCGGCGGGACTCAACACTATGTCGCTAGAACTCTTGAACTTCTTCAGGCATGCGATACCCAGCAACTGCACCAGCCAGCAGCTCGAAGTTTCAAGCTAGTATTAAAATAATTTAACAATTTTTATATTTTTCTACACTTATAGCATGTTTTAGTTCATTATATTTTTAGTTTTGTGTTCAAATAAAAATAAAAATAATTTTTCACTAGTTTTAAAGAAACATGTAAATTACATTAAAAAAAAATTTACACAAGTAATATAAGTTAGTATTGTTGAAAAAAAACTTACGTCTTTGATGAGCACGCAGCCCACACCCTGAAGTAAAGCTTTCAAGAAAATGACAACGACATTATATCCGATCAGCATATTCCACCATTTTAAAATGGTTCTCATTGGTCTCAAGTAAAAATCGCTTCCTTGCCAAAGAAAAACGAACGCGCCAATAAGGTAGCCAAGCGAAAAGACATTTGTTCTCTTTGTTCCAGCCAGGAACATAATCGACAAGGTTACCCACATAAGACTCATCATGCAGCCACGTTTAAATACGTCCAGCCACGACTGAATGTGCGACACATAATCCTTCACAGGATTCACAAAAGTCGGCTTCTCCATATCTTGGAAGACGGAATAATTGTGGCCAGCTACGAAATCTTTGTTAGACTGTAAGAAATATTGGTGCTCGATGTGGAAGACCAGACTTTGCCGTACGATCATCATTAACAAAATAAAGTCACCTGTGTTCGAAATGAAAGAAGACAAAATAATTTCAAATAAAAATATTTTACAGTTCTTTTTTGTTAGTTCACAAATTAAACTTACAAATTAGTTTTTTGGGATTTGGCGGAGAATCTGGATCAGGAAGGTACATCCATTCCTGCAATCCCCTCATTACTTCAGATTCACCCCATGGATAGTCTAAAACAAAGAAAAAAAATTATTTATTATTTGTTCCTGCCTAATTTATCTTTGTGTCCAACGTAAAGACGCATTACTTTACCTATACAAAGCCACGAAGGCGGTGCTACGACAATGGCGTATTGAATAGGCAGAAAAATGATGGCGAAAAATCTGAAAAACGGCCAAATTCGCGCTACGGTTTTTCTTTTCAATGAGAAGAACAACAGCAACCAGATGCTGTACAGAACGGAATAAAAGTCCAGCCTGGTGCCAATCAGGGTAACGATTCCAATGAGGCACATTTCGAGGCCGAATTTATAGAAGCCATAGTTGAAGAGAAACTTGAAGCACTCCGGCAGTCCCTTGTCAGCGTCCGCCCTGGTGATAGTTGGAAACATCACTTGAGGAGTGTCCAATGATTCTCCCTTGCTATGGCGATAAAACCATTGGCGGACTCTGATGATTTTTCTAAAAGTCGTCACGGTAATGATGCCGATGTAGCCTTTCAGCAAATCCGGAAGTTGGCCCGGTCCTGCTTTCTTCATGCCGAACCATTCGGCCATGTTGTAGACGGTACTGCTTGCATTTTGTTGATCGTCATTTTTCTGAAATTATTTAAAATAATGAATTAAATCAAAATGAAAAATTGTATACAAATTTTTCTCATTATGTTATAACGAGATATTAATTTAGAGTCCTTACAGTGCAGTTGACGTTCCAATTGTCATGATTGATGTTCTGGATTTGATACAACATTTTCGTAATCGTAAGAAGCGATATTATGGAAGCTAACACGTTAATTGCTCTTATCTGTATGTTTCTTTTGAAATTAATCATCACGGCTACCGCGACGATGAAGAAGAAATTTATTGCACATACCTGAAACGAAATTATTTATTCATTAATCTTGAAATGCACGAGATAGATTGTGATAATTTTACTCACGTCGTTAGTGCACAGAAGAACGAATGAGATAAAAATAATCTTCTGCATATGAATTTCAAGGAAGAGCCAAGTGTAATTGTAAAAATTTACCAGATGCTTCGTCATTTTTCGAAATAGCGCGATTCTCTCTAATTTTGACATATCTGTAAGCAATTTGAAATAAATTTAATAAATGTATCATTATAATATTGACAAAATAGTAGTTGGTTAAAAAAATAATGCATACGTTTTAATTGTTTCAACGTGTACATCGTATATTTTTCGTTTTCAGTCAGCGTGACATCAGCCGGTGAGGATGTTGGCATATTTAAACTAGGAGAATGTCCTAGACTGGCTCGCTGAAAGCTTTCGGGCCTGAAATTGATAGAGATATCGTAAAATATTGTTATTACGTGTTAACATTTACAACTATTTATACAAACTCTAATCTGTCGATGTTGGTGACTTCGAGAAAGTCGTTGTGGAAATAATGAATCTGAAGCACTGTGATAATGACAAAGAATGTTGGCGTCAGCAATCTCACAAATAGATCTTTAATTTCGTAAGATTCTAGTCCAATATCCATTTGTCTGAATTGATAAAAAATAAATATGAACAGTGGCAGAAATGTAAATAATTAATAAACAAGATAATAATTGAAAGTAGTACTCACAAATTTTCGCTAACACCAATGTATTCCCAATATGCTGGGAAATTCTTAAATTGGTAAGTGTAGACGAGAATCAGCATGATGATCGAATATCCGATAACAGTTAGCCAAAATCCGTACATTATTCTCCTCCACGCTATCCACGATATCTAAAATTTTCCCGATATTCATTTCCGTCGACAAAGATTTGCGATTGACATTTATCGGAATACAATACCTGAAACGTGATAACGAAAACGAGGAACAATAGCATGTAGACTATTCTGAAGAGCGTCATGCGTTCGCCTGTTATGCCGCAGATGAACAGCATGATTGCCACCACGGCGATCCAGAATTTGGTTAATAAGTTTTGCAATAACTTCCCGACGTTTTTCATGAACTTGCTCTTGATCTCTGGCGTCTCGTGAGTCATGGCAGTCGTCGCCGTCGAGACGGACACGTGCAATGGTGCTACCATGTCGCGCAGAGTAGAAGACCGTCGCTGCTGCTTTCGTTCTACCATATATTGCCTCGTAGTGATCCAGAACATCGAAATAAATAGACACTGTGCAAGAACAAGTCGCGCATTAAGCATTATTTTACTATCCATAATGCAAAATGAATTTATTTTTCAAAAGAGATTTAAATTTAATTTTGCAGAAAGTGCACACCTTAACTATTAGATGCCAGCGACCGAGTTCGTCGGCTTTAGCAAAGCCGATTTCCAACATTTTCACGCCGCTCACCACCCTTGGCAATTCTTCGTCCGTCAAATCCATACTGTAAACGAATTGTCCGAGGAGCAGGAGAGTAGCATAGAACACAATAAATGGAGAGCATTTCATCATGGAAGCACGTTTGTTGGGAACCATCCATAAAATCAACGCCCACAGAAGTAAGACGAATGTCGTCCAGCTATGGTACATTATGCTCCACGTCTAAAAGATGAAAGAAATAACAGTTTAGTTACTTCAGTCCTTGAGTTGAATTATAGAATTTGTTTCTAACACTTACCATCATTATTATATTTGAGGCAAGATACGAGGAGTTAACTATTAATTGGAAGATGGAGTACACTGCCATGATTATTTGTTCCAGGATACCTGCCGACTCATCCGGCGCTCCTAATTTGCGAGATTGTTAATTAATTATTTCATTCAATTTTTTTACGCATGAAATCATTATACTTTTACATTTATTACCTTCGCTGAGACTCTGCATTTGTATGCTATCGTCCTGCTGACCATCCTGATTAACGATGATGCTTCCGGTGGTGGAATCTTGAAGAAGCCCCGTCCTTCCGGAACCAAATCGCATCAGCTGTGCATAAAATCAAACGCCTTTATTTTTCTAGTGCTTTGAATAATAATTATCAATGCTATCTTTTTACAAACTTTATCATTACGTTTCTTTTTCTAACTCAATTTTTTTAAAAACTTTTTTTTACTCGTCGACAATAGCAGGCTCATGCAAAGTGTAATGTGTTTACCTTTACCATATTATTAATGTTTATCAAAATCTTGTTAATAATGACGATTGCGTTGTTTGAGATCAATTCGTGCAAACGTACGCCAGATTTCGTGCCATTTGCTCGAATGAAATCTCGAGCAGCTTGGCGATGTCTATTTATATCACATGCATAGGAAGAGTGAATTGTTAATGAATAATTAATTAATCATGCATATTTAATTGGTATACGTACAGGCGTTCGCTCGTCGATTGTTGGTAACGACGAATCTACGACCGGCTTCTAAAACAATGGCAAACTAAACATAGCAGCACATCCAAACGGAAAAGGGTTTTTGCGCAGCATAAAACAACAACTGCACATCTGGAAGGCGACAGCAAATAAAAATACGGAGAGTATTTTTTAATAGGCAAACAATTAAAAAAAAATATAATTACAATTCGCAGACAGAACAGCTTAGGCATAAATTGACGATAAATGAAGCTGCATTATGACTGCTAATAGCGTTCCATATTAAAATCGCTTGTGCAATATTACTGATTGCATGCGTCACATAACTTGAGAAAAATGCGTAGATAAAATTTCCTACAAACAATTAGTAAAAATAAAACAGTAAATAATCAAAAATATTAAAAAAGAATAAAAATTGTAAACGCTCTGACGATTAAATAATTTAAATCACGAAAAAGAGAGCAAAAAAAAACTGCAGTCGATTGTTCGTACTAATTGTATTTATGTTACAAACGTTTCAGCCTATCACCAAGTTATCTTTAACGTAACGAGAATAGATAGAAATAACTAACAAACCACATTAGTATTACAAAATATATTAAAAATAATTACAGTACGGTAACCTACTTACAAACTAATGATGATCTGATGACAAGTTGAAACATTTGTAATATGAATAACAAATACATATAATCAGCACAAACAACCGATGTAACTTCTGTGTTTTATAACGAGAAAAAAATTAAAAAATTATAAATTTAAAAATATTATTTACAAAATCATATATTTAAACGCTTGACAGTTTAGGAAAACATCGAAAAGATAGCGATACTTTTACCGAAATTGACAATTAAATAATTAGAAAATAGAATTGGAATAAAAAATGTAATTTTGGCATTGTGAGTGCAGTACGTAATAATGCGATGCAATCTGAAATAAAATATAGCTGACAAAAAAAAATTGCATAATCAAAAATACATGTGAAAATATCAATAAAATAGTCGGCTCATGTCACGAATCCTTACGCGAGCCTTACGTCGCGCTGATTGCCATCGTTGGGAAGGTGTCCTATGTCTGACGGACACGTGTCTGGACAATGAAGTGTCCAGATTTTCCAGTTTGCCGCTTAATCGTGTTGCGTCCTTCGCCTGTAACGCCTTGTTAGTAAAAGCAAGATATTTTCAACAAAGTTTTCCAGAAATTCGAGTGAAAAGAATCGCCAAAGTTACATCACATTCAGGTATTTTCTAAAATTTTCTAAATGTTAAATAATCTTTTCTATAATTCGACAATAGTTTGATCCCTTTTTAAATTTTAATTTTGTAGAAATATGTATAAGCAATTTAATATTTGGCGATTCCATTTTTATGATCCACTTGACAATCTTGATTACATGCTGACATTTTAAGTTAGTTCAAAAAGTTCTTGTTAAACGTTCAACGGATATTCGCAGTAATATTAATTATTCCTTCCCCATAAATGGATTAATTGCGTTACACGCAATAGGCAGGTGGCGTATAGCTCGGGAAAGTAAAGGTGTCCAAGTTTAGAGCGTACCCCAAGCTCTAGGAAGAGAGCTTCTCAATGAAGAGAAATGCGTTCGATACATTATTTCTAATTCGATAAATTGTATGGACTACACAAAGATATTTAATTCTATCGCTATTCTATCGCAATTAAATCTTATTAATCACAACACCAAATTTCCATCAACCTATAGTAGTTTTTTTATATAGAAATTATTTAGCTTCAAGTATTAAATATTAATCTAACACAGAAATACCACAGTTGCGATAATGATATATTTTATTAATTATAATAATAATTATAAAATTAATAACACTATTACTAGAATATGAAAGATTCTAGATAATGAAGCGTAGGTGTTAAGAACATTTATGCTCTCTAATATACTTCGTAATATCTTTATATATTCTATTCTAATGTCGATTAGCGATTAACAGTGTTTCGATTCAGAAGAAATCATCATTTCTTAGAATATCGTAACCTCGATTAAATAGAAAAATGTGCGAACTCACCGGTTTTTTACTGAGAAACTGCGACTGCAATGCCAGGACGTAATACAGCCAGAAGAGCCGCAAAGCATATCCGTAAATCAACCAATCCGCATCGTCAGTATATTCCACGTCTCTCGGGTCGCTGCAGTTGGTGTGATAAACTGCGGCTAGGGCCAGGTAGCGCGACCAGGCGCTGGACACTGGAATAATCTCCTGCGGCCATTCGTTTTGATACGCGAGCAACGCAACGATGTGAACGATCACGATGACCATGACGATTCTGCAAATCACGGCGAAGCCCTTTCGCAGATTTCTGTTGCAGGCCCAGCACGTGGCGGCGCCGAGGAACACCAGGAAGTAAAAGGCCGCCTCTATCGACGGTTTCAAGGCCGCCGCGCAGCACAACGAGGCTAGGACGACGTAGGTGCCGATACCACCCAGGAAGTTGATTATCTGAATGCGCGTAGGTGTAAGTTATCTTTCACTGAACATCGATTTTTTTCTCGCGAAACGCTTATAGGACATGCTGCGTAGAGTCACATTTTACAGAATGTATGGTGTTGAAAGATTTGGAGATTGCATAAATTATATTAATCACTGAATAATTCACTTTTTAATAGAGACATCGGCTTCCTTTGATATGAAATTACCTTTGTGGTGCTGTCGTCCGTTTTCTTCCGCTGGGAATTATTCTCCTGACGAAGACCAGTCTCTTCCTCCTCCTCGCTAATACGTTTTTGCGTGAGGAAGCGACATATGAAATACACGGCGAGCACGGTGGGCAAAACAATAAATTCCGGAGTCAGCCAGTAGAATACTTCCCATACAGATGCGCTATCTAATCTGACGAAGCCTATGTGTCGGAAGAGTCTCTCCACGAATTCGCCTAAAAATGTATTGTTTTATTCTTTTAAGAATAAGATAATCTTGTGCATTTTATTGTAATCCTTAATCTAATATTTCGTTGTGCTTGAAAAAACATATTGTGCAAACTTATCACATTTACGAAAATTATAAAATGATTACAAACTGTGGAATTTCAAAGGCAATATAATATTTATGTCAGAGTATTGCTTACAATTTTCCAAAAAGTATCCGTAGGGTGGTAGCGCTAGTAGAGCGATATGAAAGGTGATCTGGGCTATAGCTACAAGAAAGGCTAGGCAGATGCAGATCTTTAGGTATATTCCCGTATGACCTGTCATGGTTCTGTGCGTCGGTATTGGGACCATCGGTGAATACAGCATCAGTCCCAAATAAATGATCGACAATCCTACTGGTCGCCATATTGTGCCTAAAAGATTAAAATTCATCTAGATTTAGCACCCAAATTTCGGTAAAATCAATAGTGTTTTAATTATCCTCTGACAGAATTATTTTTAAAATTATTTAATATATAAAAAGATTCATCAATTTTAGAGGTTTTTCAAAAATTGTTATGTACGTAATCAGCACATTATTAATTAGATATTGCGATAATTTTACGAATTATAATTACAGCAGAAATATTTATAGTACATTTTTCGACAGAACCTACTCTATTTCAATTACAAAGTGATTCATCCCACATTTGCTTTAGGGGTTTCATCAAAGAGACCTTTCATCGCCGATTTTACAAGATATACGATAAAGTACATAAACTACATGCAACTTTTGATGGCACGGTGACGACTATTTCTACGTTTGCGAAAAGGTCATTTACGATAGGAGAGAAATTGTTCGTGGGGAAAATTACATCCAGTCAATAACAAAGCCGTTCAAGAAAATGGCACTTCAATCCCTCCGAGTATTTTGTCAAGACCTTTGCTTTTTAATATTTTATTTAGAGCGCAATATATTTTTAAAGTTTACACGTTATGTCTCTATATGCGCTTAAGTTAGAGCCATAAAAAATAAAAGAAGTTTCTTAGATAAATATATTTTTGGCATAAATATATCCGCTATTAAATTAGCACCCGGTATATAGCTAGAACAGACGCACTTGGTTGATAATTAATGCGAATCATTCTGTGAAGTTTAGTCTAACAGCGATAATTACTTTCGCGTAACGAAGCCAGTATTTCACAAATGAGTTGTTTGCGTGCTGGTTCAGTTAGAATATACGTTCTTTGAGATTATCGTATGTATATTGTATCTCATTTTTAGTCGTCGTCTCTAGCGATTTACATATCTATTCGTGGCACGCGTTATATTTGTTCACAGATAAATAACGACATTGTGTCGTTGCCAAGTAAAGTTCATCTCAAACGTGCATAATTTGCGTTAATTATTGCGACAATTGCCATTGTAATTTTATTGATCAAAAATTTATATACAAATTACAGTTTTTACACTTTTCCTAATAATATTTAATTTTTATACAATACAATTGCTACGCGTTTAAGAAATAATGGGTTAATTACCAATTAATTATTTTATGTTACAGCAACGATATTCACTTTTAGTTGTTTGATTGTAATTTATTCGCGCTTAATGACCGTAGCAAGAACGTGAAGTCGTTATAAGCCTCCTATCATAACTCTTTTTTGTGAGGTCAAAGGCGTTCAGGCCTAGCCTAGAAGATTCCACGATCACGAAATTCGTTCCGGAAATAAGAAGGCCGCACGCATGAAATTTTCGCTAATGTTCCTTTCGTGAAACACGAAGCCAGCAATGTTGTAATTAATTATTATAGTTGTGATAGTTTCACAATTTGTTATTGTACACAATGAATCTTTTATTTTACTTATATTGAGTTAATGTAATTTGTACTTTGATAGATAAATAAATAATATTGGTTTTTATCATTTCAAAAATATTATGTAGTAAAAACATGATAATTAAAAACTTAATGTCTATTAATAAATTATAATTATGTGTTCTTATATCAGATAACATGTACAGTCTAGCAGACTAAAGTTAAAATATAAATAACTTTTTTTGTACAAGAGAACTCTTAAATTTTTTTCGTACTTATTTTCGAACTTATGCTTCGATAAAACTGTGATTGGACTTGTTTAGACAAAGTTAGTGAGTTTTGTCGTTTCATGATACGGATATGTGAGTTCAAGCGCCTATTCTCTAATTTTAGAATGTTCTTCAAGCCACTCAGAGACACATGTCCACGTGATGTCAACGTGGAATGCACGAAAATTCTTGCGTATTATCCTTCCCACATATTTTGTATTTTACATAGAAACATATTCGCTTTGATTATATCATTTATTAATTGCAATAATTCTTTTTGAGCGAAATGTGTTTTTTTAGAGTAAAACACATTAAATGCGTTTTGCGAAAAAAGAAAATCACTGAAATAATTCACATAACTTAAAGTCGTTTCTCTCTCTTGTATTAGGAATTAAAGTAATTAAAGATTACGGAGCATAGCAAAAATCATTAGCGATAAACGGCAATGTATTGAAAATATTTCAGCATACAGCAAATTGATAACGCAATGATAAATCTTGACAGTATTACTCTTTAGCTAATAATAGACGGATCGATACAAAAGGTTGATTCGATAAAATTTATTATCTAATTTTTTTGTTTACTTAAGAATACACATTTGTATTTGTAGAGAGATAAGTATTAAAATAAAAATTAGAAATATTTAAAGCATTTAAGAAGTGAAAATAAAGGAGAATGCGTATTATAAATAGCGAACACGCAATTTTCAAAGGAAGTTACATATTGTGGAATGTATTTAATTTATTATCGCGCGTAGCAATCATTTAGCGTGAATTCTGCATAATGTAGGCAGCCAACTCAAGTCGGACTTGTCGTCTATTTTTAGTTATTTTGTTCCAGCATGTTAAAATAGTATTTTGTATTTTTTATTTTACCGAAATATACATCGATACGCGCGAACTGAGATCATTACTCAACTAGAAATGGTGATTGTTACAAGTGTGATGTCACCGATGTTTTCATTATTGTTGTGTCAACGATTCCAGGTATTTCCTTAATGCAAAAGACTACAGCCTTCGACACAGCGACGAGTGAACTTCCTTCGTATTGGCCTTTGTAGCAGGTATTTTTTAATAATGTATATATTTTATTGTATAATACGGCAAAAAATGCGCAATAAAAAACAATATTTGTGTAAAATTGTAGAAAAAAACTTTTATTTTTTGCAGTAGTTGGCTATAAAATCGAATGACTAAGAATGAGTGAGCAAAGGAATGCAACGACTATGCAAAATAATTTAAACCCACCGTGTAAAAATACTTTACGCTTATCTTTGCCCACTCGTATGATGTCAAAGAAACCACGCATGCCATTACTGTCTGTGGGACGTAGAAAAAAAAGGAAAGGAGCAGTTATACGAATGGGACTTACATCCGGCTAAGATGACTGGTAGAACGACCCTGAGGAGGGCCACGTTCAGCCAGTATTTCGTCATGCCTTGAGCTGCCTGGACGGCTTTTCACCCTGAAACAAAGGAGAGAGAGGTGAATGACTCTTCATTTGAGAGTATTAAAATTTTTGGAAGTTCTCGAGTTGCAATGTAAACTCTTGTTGAGATCGATAAAACGCTGTCGTAGTCGGAGATACCTTTAACCTCATTTTGCCGAGAGACGCAGTGCGCTGACGTTCCGCACTACGCCCTTCGTTTTTACGATCACGTTGACCCTTTCAGAAATTCTTTTCTGCAAACCGGTTTTCGCCGCGTGATACGCTCTTCGACGTGTAATACCTACGTCACGTCAGCTGCTCTTACATGATTCTTCTATTACGCTGTCAGAATGCGAGTTTAAATTGACATTGGTATTTAAAATTTGTTAAAATTCCATAAATGTAAAATAATCTTTTCAATTTTGTGCAACAGAAATTGTTTATTTTTATCGATAATTATTGTAATTCAAGATTGCTATTGTCGATAACAATTCATGCATTTTGCGTATGAAATGAGTTGCGATTAAGCAGTCAGAACGAAATGATGTATGAAAGTTCCTGAAATAATTTATGATCAAGTAATTCTGGAAACAAGAGCGAGTATGTTTTGGTTGTGATGGGATTCAGTAAAAAAGAAGGCGCGTCCACCTTAATTACAGACCAATTACATAGGGACGACATTTGTGAGAGGTGCGCCGGTTACGCTTTTATCACATGTGAGTGTTAATGATGTATGCGCCAGAAAGAGGGAAAAACATGACGTTGCGTGACGATATTATTCTACCATATCAATCAATTTTGCTGTATAATTCTATGCAACCTGACAGCAGCTGTTACAATGTATGCGTGAATGAAAAAGAAATAATGAAAGAAAGTGAAATAATAGAATGGTGAAAAATAGATATGACGATTGAATGTGGCGTGTTTAGTTTTTTTTTTTAATTACAACTTGTGATTTGATATCTTGTAATGTAGAGAAAAATTATTTATGAAACACAAAACAAACATAAGCATAAAAAAAAGAAATAAAAAAAATATTGTGAGCAATTTATCGTAAAACAGCCTTAAAGAGTGATTTCTTTCTTAGTGAAGACAAGAAGGTATATAATCGGATGTTGTCAGATAACCCGTAAGGCGCGTCTAATGGCCTTACTTATTGGACTGCACATAAGAAGAATGGGTGGAGTATTATCTCCTTATGATAAATAATGTCTTGATTGAAAGGTATATATGCCTTGCGTGATTCATACTTTTATGACCGTTATATAAATTTCGTTATCAAAATTTCGAAGCTGCTATCGCTAACCTTTTTCCTTTATTTTTCGACGCGCAAATTTTAAGAGCTTAGCTAGCTTGAAAGTTAGATGTAAATAATGCCAAGCGTGACACGCATTGAATGCCAACACGTTCAGACCTTGTGACACGTGTATCGTATTTTAATCAACCATTTAACTTGATTGCTTATTTAAATTGTTAATAATCGAAGTGTTCTATTAAAATTCCAATGCATAGATATGTTGGAGTTTTATAAATGCAATGTTGTTCACACGCGCGCGCGAAGACATTTAAAAGGTTTTACAAAGTACACGTCGATGATGAATATGTTTGTTTATGTGTCGATTTCAATGTTATCTTAAAACATTATGTTTCGATCGAATTTCGCAATAATTATACGCGAAATATGCATACGTTGCGTGCCGAGTTGGTGTGTTTTGCGTACAGATGCGTGCTACAACGAGGAGTTAATTAAGAGAATGCACAACGCTAGTTAAATAAATTGCGCTAAAACATCGCACTGGATTTCTTTGTGTTTCTGATAAATGATGGAGATAGACAAATCATTTCGACGTTTACATATGTTCTACACTAAATTACAAATATAAATTTTTCTAACTCTTTCGTATGTACCTGATTTTTTAAAGCAATTTGGAGAAAGATATATTGAAAAATATATTTCAGGAAACTAACGCATTAGAGACCGTTCATTAATTAATCATTAAGTTTTAACGAAACCCGTAATTGACGTAATTATCATGATATAACTTGGGACATGTGTATTATTTTATAACTGTGAATAAAGTGAGAATAGTAAATTACAAAATTTGTAAATAATGTATTATGTTAAAATAAATATTACGTTATGTAATATTTATTAATAAAAAATGCAAAGAACACACGCAAATGAATTTATCGCTATTTTCAAAGCTCATTTATGTCACGATAGAACTGCAACTGATTCGTTGCGCGTTTTATGTTTCTCCTTATCTTATTCGCAATGATAATTACATGTGTACGTGGGAGGCCTTGTGCACGCAGTTGTGCGATAATCCGACGGTTATTATTAAGAGCGAAAGTGACTATGCAAAGCGTATTCGAAGTGTTTTCCGTTGGTAATTACAAACAACGCTTCCGTGAAGATATATCGCACATGACTCACAATAAGGCATGATAAAATTGAAATTAGATATGTTGATAGCTAAATTACTACGTAACACGACCTTACATCATGGACATTGTTTATTCTTTTTAATTGACGATAGTTATCAGTGTTATGTGATTTTCATTGACACATTTTGCTTTTATTTTACGGTTTATTCAGAGATTTTTGGCTTATTCTTAGAAAGAAATAAACGTAAATCCACAACCATGCCGAATGCTGACTGTACGAGAGAGAGAAAGTTTGCGAAAATTTTGTTTACGAAGTTAGTTTTGTTTTTCTGTCGATTTTGAATCATCAAATAATAATCCTTGTTAGCTGTGACATACATATGTTCGTAACAGTTCTTCCGTTTATTTGTCCACGTAGATTACATGTTATGATGATGGACGATTGTGATAGATAAATCATTTCAACGTACTGTTTTATCAATTTTATCAGTAATGTTTGAATGAATTACAGCAAACTTTATAAATTTGTTATTAATATAAATGTCTTCATTATTTTTTTATTTGTTACAGCAATTCTAGGCCGTTATAAATTTTGACGAAATATCACTCATACTTTTAAAATCGTTCCGTAACGATGCAAAAATATCAATTTTGTCGACAGGTGTTACAAGAAGAATTCTAAACCTGATCAAATAATAATTTTATTTAATCCGACAACACATTTATCATATGTTACGTCAAGTCATGTTTTTCTTCTGACATATTTTATATTCACTGATCAAACAAAATACCTCTCGACTACTTCAAAATCAAATACGCTCGCGAGCCTTTCGAGCACTTTTCTCCCATCATCACAGATCTGCTCCAAACATTAATAAATACTGGAGCAGAAATTCTCAAACATTCCGCGGCTATTTCCAAATCCGCGGCGTCAGCATCCGCATAGGCGTGAATCGTTGAAAACGGCGTGTACCTCGTGCGAGCAAGCTGGTACAGAGTGCGCGTCTCAGAGCATCCCCTTTCAAGGTCCTTTTTCCCTTTCTCCCAGCTGTCCTTAGACCGATCGAACTTCGAAGGGAGCAACATGCGCTTCCCGGCACACTTTTCAGCAATCGTAGATGTAACACACCACTCACTGAAAGTGCTTCACTTACACATTTTCTTATCCAAACACACTCTCAACCGCTGCTTCTTATGGTTTTATGAATGACAGCTCTCTCGTACGCCCACGTGTCATCCCGTACGAAATTGGAGCATCGACCGATACTCGACTCTCACAAACGACTTTGGCCGACTTCAGCCGACGTCGTTGACGTCGGTTAAAGGTACACGATGCCGGTTTGCCACCGACTGATTGGCCGCCCAGACGCCTAGCCAAGGCTAGGCCTGATATTCTCACGTACTCGGTATACGACATGGCTGTAGTGTGCATGCGCGGTATCTTTGTGCGTCATCGACACTAATGTGATTCACCCTTTTCTCATTGTCCGATATACTATCAATTATAATTTAATTTTAAAAATTATTTTTTATATTTTATTTTTAACATATATTGTTATAGATAAAGCATAAATTGTTTGTTTTTATCATATAAAATACACACTTTATAGTAATATATTTTGTGAAACATCATAAAGACAAGCAAGCATGAGATCAAAGAATATCATTTTGTTTATAATTTTTTTTATATTATCAATTTATTATAAAATAAATTTCTTCAATAATAATGTCATGCTTTCCAGAGAGATGGCGCCTAATGTTCTTCATCTCGTACTGTTAAAGAAGCAAGCTGCTGTGTTGCTGTATCGGTTATCACACATGTGATAACTCTATTTTGAGAAAAATATTTACATATGTATAAATAATAAATGTACAATAGATTATTTTTTATAAAAGAAATAAATGTGAAATTTTTAGAGTAAGAATATGAACCCGCTTTTTCAATATTTAAGTCAGTCTTTTATATCAATACTTGTTACTTAAATATCCAACTGTTTCATCATGTAATGGAAAACTGCGAGTATCGAGAAGCTGAATCCCAATGGTACGCAGGTTGCTTTGATCCACGCCCATACACTGTAAATATGCACATTTCAAAATTGCATTAATGGATTGTAAACTGAAACGCCGTGTCATTAAAAGATTATTTATCTAGTTAAATGCGAGCGCAGTACAGCTTGGAGAATGGATAATGCGTTAAAGAATATATTTTTCAAATACGTGTACATTTACTGATGTGTCTTTACGTGATCTTAATGTCTACTTTTGCATTTTGCATCTACTTGGCAGTCTTTTCGTTCACGTAGTCACACGAAACAGTGCAAAATAATATATTAAATATATAAATTGTTGTATAAAATGTGACTATGTAAAGTAAAGCTTCAAAAAAATGTATAAAAGTAGCTATTCTCATACAGTATTAATACTTAATTAACTAATTATTTGTGCGATCGTCATATTTGTCGACCTAGAAAGCTATTACGTAAAAATGATTGGCATATGTAGCCCTCATTAATACGGAGCGCAACGATTACAGTAACCTACAAAAGAGCTTGGGAAAGACGTGAGCGAATAATTAGGGTCACATCGAAAGTGTTGGATTACTCGTAAGGATTATCTGATACAGTAAACGGCTCCGTTGGAAGAGTTCCGCTGTCGTAAATTACTACGGGCGCGACTGGAACATCATCGCTATTCGTTTTGGTTTGTTCGATCTTAAAGACTACAGCTTCACCGTTAACCACCTACAAAAAAAAATATTAGTGAAGAAACAGTAATATTAAAATAAATCGTATCGAGATATTTCAATGACGCAAACTGTTATTTAACATTATTCAATTTGAAAAAAACTAAGACGATAGTTTCATATATTCTCACCTTTCCGAATACCGTATGGTGATCATCTAGCCAAGGTGTTGCTATAGTGGTGATGAAAAATTGACAGCCGTTGGTGTTCTTCCCAGCATTCGCCATGCTGACGAATAATGGCCCGCTGTGCTTCACCTTGAAGGTTTCATCGTCGAAGTATTTGCCGTAAATACTGATGGAGCCGGTACCATCGCCATTTTCTACATCACCGCCTGTAATACATGCGATTATGCGACAGCGCGTAATATCTGATAAATAAAAATTTTTTAATCAAAGAGAAAATATTGACCCTGAATCATGAACTTCTTTATCACGCGATGAAACGTGGTCCCTGCATATTTTTTCCCAGCTAGGCCAGTGGTAGCGAGAGTGACGAAGTTCTTCACCGTTTTCGGTGCGATGTCGCCGAATAGTCCAATAACTATTCTTCCAGCTGGATGATTGTCGATCATGATGTCGAGATACACCTGATCGGTGACTTTGTATGTTTCGGCCTGCAATAAAAAATGAAAATTTTTTAAAAATACGTATTTGTTTTCTATATATATTTTTTACGCTATTTTGTAGATAAAAAAGATATTAACAACAATTGCAAAGAAATAAATTAACATAATAAATGATTCAACGAGCGAAAGGGTGATTTGATGGCAAGTGTCTGAAACTAACAGAAGTGATACAGAATAGAGCTATTAATTTAGAATGCACTCGTAGCGATGTATTTTAAGTGGCATACATTCACAGAAGAATTGCTCGCGTGTAAACCTAATATGTGCGCGCACACGTGCGCTTACTAAAGCGTAACGACGAGGGAAACCTTATGACATATAAAGGCGACATATTCGTCTGACCTATTACCATTTTGTTGTATTTACTCATTTCTACAACGCGATTTTTCAACACCATTAAATTAAACAGTCCAAATTTCATGGTTTACACATCGATACAATATAGAAAAATAAAATAATAATTGCTTTGCAATTGGTTTAAAATCTTTATAATAAAAATTTAGCATAGTTTAACATGACAAATAAACGTTCTAATTAGTAAAATGTTTGTAAATTTTCTATTTTATAAAAATATATACGTGATGAAGACAGAGATCATTAAAAGAAAGTGTTAGGGATGCTTAGTCACAAAATTTGATACATATATGAATAAAAAACTAGTGCAATAAACAATCCATCCTTAATTTATTCAGACAGTCAGAGTCGCGTATTAACGGTATATCCGAAAAATGTAATTACGATTTGGCAAAATATAATAAAATCGCTCTGAGTTAATTAGCAAACGGTACCTCTGTGGTCGAGGTGGCAGCAGCCACGAGAACGACGATCGTCAACAGGCACTTCATGATTTCTTCCCGAATACTGTTTCGGAGTGATGTGGACGTCGCGACACAGTTTTCTTTATTAATCAGCCTCCGCGATGCGGTTGTATTAAGCCGCGACGCACGGTGCACGAACGACGTGCAGAAGCTGTGCGTCTACCCGCGACTTGCGCCGTAATCGAGAGCTGCGTCGGCGCTCTAAATTGAGTAAAGTAGCCGTGTATCAATGGGCCTACTGCGATAACAAATTCTTGCATCATGCGCTTAGTCTGCAGACGTCTAACGAAAAAATAAATAAAATAAATGGTAATTGGAACAAGCGAAATAGCGACATTTAATATTTTATTTATGTACATACTTCGACAAATTTTAGCTTACACAAGAACTCTTTAAAAAAATATACAAGTTTTTTAAGAAAATAAATTTTACATACGACTTTCTTTACTTTATAGCAGTTTGATGGTTCTAGAAGAAGCTAAGAAAAAATTAAAATTAAGTGTTATTCAAGAAATAAAAAATTGTCATATATTAAAATTTTTTTTTCGGTTTATCCTGCAAGATTATTCAGCGGATTGATTTCGAAAATTGATGATACAAATTGACCCATCTATTATATTGAAGAACATTAGAACATCTCTGATTTGGAGGTCAAAGATCTTTGGCGCAACGAGTTCGACAATCTTCGTATTCTTGATCGAGCGGTGCCGTTACTCCCGATCACCGGCCGTGGTGCGTATTATAAAAGCTGTGTAAGTTCTGCTTTCAAGAGCAGTTTCGGTGACGATGAACCACGACGATCACAACTATATACGAAGGCAGCGCGCGAGATGGGCGATATTGCCGATAATAGCAATTGTTATCTTCGCTGTCGACGCGTCCAGTCTCGGGCGTCAAACGAAAGAGGCTCCTAATGTCAGTGAGAGTGTTCAACAAGCGGATAAGTTGAGAAACGAACAAAAGGAATCGAAGGATATCCAGGAACAGATCACTTACGACGGCGATCAAGTCTGGAGGGTCTACAAGAATAACAGTTCCTTCGATGAATTGGTGAAACGTTACGACGAACACGGTTGTACGTAGCATTTATGTTGAAACATAATTTTTCCTTTGATTCGAAGTAGATTTATACGAAAGACAATAGCTGAATAAATTTCTTTTACACAGCATACTCGATATGGGCGAACAACGCGTCGATCACCGACATTTTCGTGGAAAATCACATGCTTCGAAATGTGAGATCTATATTTAAGAACCTCGGATTGAGACACGAAGTTTTGATCGACGATTTGCAACAGGCAATCAATGAGGAGAATTCTCCCCTTTCGCCGGAAGCGGAAGAGGAACTCGAAGGACGCAAAGGTTTGACGTTTTTATTATATTAATTTTATTTTACAATCATTTTATTATGAAATCGTATTCATTCAGCGTTTGCAATTTTGTCAGTTTTCGATAGTGTTTTTATTAACAGCTTATGGAATTAATTATTGCTTGTACATCGTTCATGTTGCGGCATTACATTCGCTCTTTACCATTTTTCTTCAATTTTTCGATGACGCACAGTGATGATAGAAAAAACTGCGTTATAAATAAATCTGTTTTCTGATTCTGATAATACTTTTAATTATTAAATAAATTTTTAATGATTTCTTGATTAGATTATTTATCGTATTGATTAGATTATTATATTGTAATCTCTATAATTATTAGAACATATCGCGTGTAGAACATAGTAAACACATTCTAAATCGTTGCTTAATTGCTAAAAATTAATTTCATACGGATTTTCCGCAAAAGATTAAAAAAATTACTGTGTTATATTTATATTTGATAAAGTCATAAACAGAAGCGATTTTATCAGAAAGATAACAACTTAAAAATTGAAAGATAACAGACGTTTTCCAATTAAATTCCACTCTTTTTCGACGGGAAGGAACGATTGGAAACAGATCGAGGTTATTGACCTCGAATGAATCCCACACCTGGTAACCCGGTTCCGCTTCAATGCTGATTAACATTAACAGTTATACTTCACTTGTACGTGCGTGTGTAAAGCGTTTGTAAAGCACACGCGTGTAGTCCTCGCACGTACACGCGTTCTGCGGCATTTCGACGTTTTCCCGCGCTCGTTTGCATAGTCGGTCGATCCGATCTCGATGCCGTTATCCGATACGGATCCGACGAGGTTTGATTGCCGATGGGAGTCGCGCGTGGGAAATGCATTTACAAACAACGTCGTTCTATTGCGAAAAATCGCTCGTACCGCTCGCTGCGAATTAAATAGTAATAAACATAAATACTCGCCGACTGTAGCAATGGACGCACATCGTTTCCGTCACCGAAGTGAGGTTTTCAGTCATTTTTTAGCTCGTTACGCTTGGTGGCAGCGAGTCAGAAGTAGTTATCCACGTCCTCGTCCTCTTCGTTATCCCGTAGCTAGTGTACACGGTGGAGGTGGTCCTTGGCATTTGAGGGGTGAGCTTTCTCAAGCGCGCGTAATCCGCTTCGTCGACTCAGAACTGCTCCGATTGTACGGATATGCAAAACATCGCATAACATAATGATTAAAAAAAAAAAGAACCGCTTACTTTCTATCGTGTAGAACTGAATCTACGAAGCGGCTGTTAAACAGACGCATGAGAGCACGGAGGGGGTGCAACCTTTGAATAATCTTCAAGGTATAATCAACAGGTCATCGCATGGAATGGACTAGCTATCATCGTTTGATTGACATTCACGGCTATCTTGATTACCTCGCGGAAACGTTTCCCGAAGTTTGTTCTGTAAGGACCATCGGCGAATCAATCGAAGGCCGTCCTCTTAAGGTTATTCTCGATATCTATTTTTAACATCTACGTTTCGATAGTTTAATTTTAAAATCACGCTGAGAGAAAATGTTGAAAAATTTGAAGGTTCTGAGAATTAGCAACGGCAAGCCGAATGCGCCAGCTCTGTGGATCGACGGTGGCATCCACGCTCGTGAATGGATTTCGCCAGCGGCTGTAACATACGTTATCGATTATCTCGTCGAGAACAGCGAGAAACTCGAGACGGATTATTATATTTTGCCCGTTGTCAATCCGGACGGGTACGAATACAGCTTCAACTCCGAGCGTTTGTGGAGGAAAAATAGAAGGAAGGCCAGCAACGTTGGCTGCTCAGGCGTGGACTTGAATCGCAACTTCGGTTATCGCTGGGGCGGAAAGGGAACGAGCCAGAACGTTTGTCACGATACGTACTCGGGTACAGGACCATTTTCCGAGCCGGAGACCGGTGCTATTCGAAACTTCTTTCAGACCAGCGCGGCAAATTTCAAGGTAAGTTGAAATATTTCACAATTTCCGCAGATTTTACATTGCTTCGATCGATTTTTGCATCCTAATTTCGAATTATAACATAATGCAGTCATCTTTACTGAAACATTTTCCTTGTAGGCATATTTGTCATTCCATTCATACGGGCAGTACATTCTGTATCCTTGGGGATATGACAAACGTGTGCCGCCAGATTACCTCGATCTCGACAGGGTTGGTCGTGCGGCAGCGGCTGCCATGAAGACGGCAGGAGGTGCGGGCAGTGTTTATACCGTTGGAAATAGTGCGACAACGCTTTATGCAGCAGCTGGCGGTTCCGACGATTGGGCGAAGGCATTGCTTAAGATCAAATACACTTACACGTTCGAACTGAGAGACACCGGCAGATACGGATTTATTCTTCCAGCTCGTTTCATAATTCCTACGGCGAAGGAAGCGCTTGCCGCGGTAGAAGTAGTTACGGAAGCCTGCAAGAAGGAGTGATTGTTAGATTGTATGTGTAAAATTGATTAGAGAAATTTGAATAGAATCTCTTCGAATCGAAATTGTTGTTCTATTTTATAGAGTATGCTTGGAAAACTTAAAGATAAGGATACTTAGTTATTAATATCCGGATTATTTTGTGATTTTCTTGTTATAAATGTATCTCTAATTGCAAATAATTAATTGCATGTATGAAAATTCTTAGTATTTTTATGGTACTTAAATATCTGTTAGGAAATATATATCGCAAATATTGTGTATTAAATATTTTGTAAAGATTTATAAATCGCATAAATTTTATAATTTCCATTTATTTTTTATTTCAACTTTCCAATAACACACATTTTTTTGCAATAATTTTTTTCTTACTTATTGTTAAAAACTGGATTTTAGAAAAATTATTTACTTTAATTGTTTTATTGCTTCTATACATATATCATATTTTATCGATAGAGCGTAATCATACTTAAAGTGAATTTAATTTACGAAAACAGTATAAACAGCACGTTGGGGGCAAGTTTCTTTTTCGAGCTTCATCAGCGATAATTTAATGAAGCTTTGTTGATGGACACATTATCATAATTATGACATTTACGCTGTTCATCATCTCATTCTTTTATAGTCATTGTAACACAAAAAACCAAGTATCTTGGGACCACTCGTCATCCACAGACAATGTGCCTGCCAATTTCATCAGTCGGGGAAATATGACAATTAATATTCATCTAGATAATAGTGTTTTTTGCACATTATAACTTAATTTATTAATATTATATGTGTTTCGGTAATATGTGTCGAAGTGTTTTAAAATGTGCAAAATAGCACTCCAGTGTTCAATATTATACACAAATTAACTTGAATTTATTATGTTCTAATAAACAGCGGAAACATAATTTTTAATTTAACTATTTGTACAAATTAAATACAAAAAATATATATTAATAGCAATATGTTTTTGTTTGAGTGAAAAACATATATTAGTGATCATTTAAAATTATCAAAATAAAACCAAAAATGAATCAGTAGAACAAATTTTAAAGTCATTTCATGAAAATGCCGAATATTGGACCTGTGCAACAAAAATATGGATTTTGGTATCAGACAGTCGCTTGTTCGATCTTTGAGAGCTACTAATTCACGTAGACATTACGCAGCCAATGCTTTCTGTTTCGTGTGCACACGATAACTCGCATTGTACTCGATTTAAAAGCGCAAGATGATGAATTGTGTGTCAGCAATTACACATCATTACTTTATGCGTTGCATCCCAAGGGTGACAAATAGTCGATCGAAGAGAGCACCATGGTTACTTCACGGCTAACAAACGATCTCTGCGTTCAGTTTCGCTACGCGACGCGTGAACCTCTCGCAGTTTTCAACTTAAACTCACTGTGAGAGTAGAAAAATCAGAGCGCGTTTATCTTGCTTCGTTTATTCATCGAGAAAAAAACAAATTCAAAAGCTACATTTAGGAAAAAAAAGTATCGGTACAAAACAATCGCGTTGATTTTTGAATGCACGAGTAATGTGATGTATAATTTTTAGATTGCAATTTATGATTTTGATTGTTGTTTTTCGATGACACTTCACTGATCATGTTTCGTCCGTCGTCGAAGTTGCAAACGCGAGTCAAGAACAAAATGCGCAAAAAATGGCGACTGTTTCACGCTACGGATTTTCAATCACTGATGTTTCCCTGCTTCATCATCTGCCGTATCCTCGGGATATTCCCGTACAGTATCAACGGCTCGAATTTCCAGGCTTCCAAATGGCGCTGTATCCTGGCGTCCATCAATATCGTCATTTTATGCGTTAACGTAGCAGAAATATTGTACGAGATGAACATCACCAAAAGGATTAACTTTGCGAATCCAGCCAGGATATTTCAAAATAACTGCTATTATCTTTCTGGTGGTTTCATAGCGATTATCACATACATTCTGAGCGGTCCGCGAATGCGCTTACTGCAGACTGTGATGGAAGTCTCCTCAAGACTGCCGCCAGAATCGTATCAGAAAATAGCCAAGTTCATCCACGCCAAAGATATCATCTTCTTTCTGTTTCTAATTGGGCAAATGTGTCAGTATCATTATGGCAGTGTTTTCGACGTTCTGTACTATTTTATCGGACTGTACATTACACTAGTAGTGTCTTATATGGACATACTGTACATGAATTGTGTTTGCGTGCTGAAAGCCTGTTTTGAGAGGATCAACGACAATCTGGCGAGTCTGCGGAAGATTGCGATGAACGATGAGCCGCATTTTCTTGAGCAGAATCATTACAATCAGAGAAATCCGTTTCTACTGATGGAGCTCAAGGCCCTGAAAAAGCAGCATCTAATAGTCAGCGACGTTGTGCAGAAGCTAAACATAATTTTCAGCCTGCAGCTTCTCGCCACCATGGTCATAAATTTTACCCAGCTCACTTTTAGCATGTATTTCGTAGCAGAATATGTGTTCAAAAAGTACTATTTCGGCCAGGAGAAATCAGTTTTAGATATATATTTATTAATATTCATATTGTTTCATTCGATAAGAATGGTGATGGTGGTTTGGTCCTGCGAGACGGGCAAGAAACGAGCTATGGAAATCACTACCACCGTGCACGACGTGCTCGTCAGCGCCAACGACAAGGAAGTAAAAAACGAGGTAGCAACATGCAATGCGATTTGTGTATTTTTGTAAAAATGTTTTAAAGTTTTGGGACTGACGCGTCAGTTTTTTATGAAGCTGTCATTTTTATTTGAGCCTGTTAGATTTATATAATTTTTTTTCAAGACTGTATTTAACTATTTTGCGATTTGACGTTGCAGTTACAATTGTTTTCTCTGCAAATACTGCATCGCGATAATACATTTTCCGCAAAGGGTCTTACTGTGGACGCGACGCTTCTCACTGCGGTGAGTAATCGATATAAATTACGTTAAATACATGTGTGTTATTTATTCTATGATTGTATTTTGCAGATTGTGGGCAGCATCACAACTTATCTGTTAATCTTGGTACAGTTCATGAATGCGGCGTCTATTTGCGATAAACTGCCATCAGGCAACGCTACGTCAAGTATTTAATGCAAAAAATAATAATTAATCGAAGAAAGGAAAAATGTTTATAGAATATTAAAAATATCTTTTGTTTATTATTGTAAGTAGAACATTGTTGCTGGATTATTTTATGTGCAAATACATTTATAAATCGATTATGTATTATATTAACAATTACTTGTAAGTAAAATTTTAATAAATTTTACTTACTGAAACGCACCGTGTGAGATAAAATAAATATTTTTGAAAAGTATCGTATTAGCTTCATTAAACGCAAAACCATTATTACAAAACTTCGATTTGTCAAGGCCTGTAAAGTATCGGTCAACTTTTCCTCCCAATTTTTGACAAAAATCTTTTTTCAGTAAGAATTTTTATTCGTGAGAATAGACAAAAGTCATGTTTTAATTAATATAACTAAAATTGCATAAAATCTACTTAAATAATAACAAAAAAAGTTTTTTAGTCCTAATCTTGTTCAAGTTAATCATGATGTATCGTTCGGGATGTCCAATGAATGAGCATCTTGCGATATCGTTATCTAATTGCGATTAATTTTTATCTCATATGAAGTAAACGGAAAAAATATGCGGAAAGCTAATAATCTGACTTACAATAGTGTAAATTGATTAATTTTTTTATAAAAGCAGACTTTTCGATTTTAAATTTTAACGAAACAAATACAATTATCGAAATTTGAAGTAAAATAATTATTTTATATCAGGTTAAATTAATGCTTAAGGTTTTGTTTTGAATATGCTTAAAATAAACAATATTAAACTTTTAAAATGCAAACAGTTTATTTTTTTTTACATTTTTCTCTTGCATTGAATAAGATATAACATTTTTTGTTTTCGGTATTCATTGATACGTCGTCGACACAATCGTTACTAATTATTAGACATTTTCTCGTGAAGCCAATCGTTGAATTTGGACACTTTGGTGTATACAGATGGAGCACCCACGGTACCACATGGAATAATGCCCCAGGATACGATTCCAGTGATCTTCTCTTTATTTCCGTAACGCTTGACTAGAGGGCCGCCGGAATCACCCTAAAAATGCGTTAAAAATTTGACACATTAAATTGTCGCATTAATATAAAGTAAAAAAATTAAAATTTTCTGAAAGTTTGCAACTTACGCTGCACGCGGAGATTCCACCAGTCAACGGTCCGGTGCAAACATTGGTCTCATGAACGGGTGAAGATCCTGTCAGGCGCTCGACCGCTTCGTGGCAGGTTTTACGATCGACGTAATGCAAATCGACAATTTGCAGTTTATCTGGCATGTTTGGAATACCGCTTCGGGAAGTGGAGCCCCAGCCGATAAGAATTGCATCTCCAGTTGGCTCGCTTTCTGCCTCCGGCAATTCGATGGGTTGTACTTCACTATTCAGCTCTAATGGAGTACTCAGCTTGAGTAAACCGACGTCATACGGGCCGACACCACTGAAAATTGCAAAAGAAGAAAAATATTTATACAGAAGCAATATATACTCGATGATATGCGTGTGCGTGAAATGTAAAGATTTATTGTTGTCCATCTACGACTTATTTTCCTTAATTTTTAGTAATACTAGTAAATAGTATTTTACATAATTATTAGTTCAATAATAGAGTTAAATAAATTTTTGTATTTGTTATTTATAAAATTTTAATTATTTACCCTTGATATTTTTCATGCACGAAAGATTTCAACACTTTAACTGTCTGTTCAGTGGTCTCAACAATATTAATGTGGTGCTTTCCAGCTTTTACAAGGAAAGTGCCGGCAGAAGGAACTGCCTGAACGCAATGTCCTGCAGTCAGGATCCATTGGCTGTTCAAGATGGATCCAGCGCAAAAGTGCGAAGTGGTTGCCGAGCTTGTACCCCATTGAAGGGAAACTATATAAGGATGCGCATTTTGAGATGCTTCATCACCACCGACCACTTGGGGCGAAAACGCCAAAGACGGCAAATACGGCACTCGCAAGCCGAGACGGGGTCTCTCTGAAATCAAAATTAATAATAATTAGGAAATTATTTGCGACAAAATTAAAGTATATAATTTGAAGAATTTGTAACTATGCAAAGTTGTGCAAAATTAAATTCTGTTACTTTTTTCAAGATTAAAACGATTTAATTAATTATAATGTTAATAATTGTTTAATATATAACAAGATTTTATATTTTACTTCGTACTTTCTAAATGTGATCAACTAATTTAGTTGAAATATATTTTTAGATTGTTATATTACGCAAAAATTGACTTACCGGCGAAAGCCACTGCAAGGAGAGCAAAGAACACGATTGCTTTGGAAGACATCTTGCTGTTTGATGTCAATCCCATGAATTGACTGTATTTTATACCCGTTTCGTTGAGGATATTCGTACGATATCAATAATGACACCGCATTGATAATCGGACATTATATTCATAATCCACAAAAATCTGAAACAAAAATCTAAGATAAGAAAGATTTCGCTACAGACGATGGTTTCTTTGTGACTGAAGATATATTAATATAAACATTAAATCGCAAATGTCCAAAACAATTTGGACAAAGCAATGTCGTGTAGAATTGCATGTATAATATAATTAAATTTTTACAAATTTAGATAGCGATATAAAAAAAATATCTTTCATGAAGCTTGAAGTATTAATATAAAATGACAAATAAATAATGCATTTTCTTCATAAACTATAATTTACTGTCAATATTTAATCAACATTTTGAGCAACAAATTGAATTACATTATGTTATTTTGCGTTTTACTTCTATCTTTAATTAGTGCTAATTTAATCAAATAATAAAAAATTAATGAAATATATGTTAACAACTACAATATTAATTAATTTTGAATAGCATGTAACAGACAAAATTGTCATGAAACATTTACTAAAAAACAACAAATCTAGCGACAATAAAAAATATTATTAATAAATTTAATTTTTTTCTTAAATGTTATTTGTTTATTATTTGCAATTAATATATAAATCACACATTACATCTACTTGAGCAACAATCAGAACATTTTTTAACATTGATTAACTACACCAGAAGTCAATCAAAAAGATTTAACGGGTAAGCACCTTTAACGCGATATCGTTATCTGATTGCGATCAATCATTATTCCGTGTGAAGTAGACATAGAGGTATGCGGAAAGCTAGTAATCTGGTTTACGATAGTGGAAATTAATCTTTTATTAAGATTGATGAAAACGGAATTCCCGATTTCAAATCTTAAGCGTAATCATCAAAATTTAAAATATGTGAATTATAGAGGGGATGTATAAAAGCTTAAAGAAGCTTTTGTGAAAGGTATTTGTTAATTCGGTAGTCTTTCGCTTGCTTTCAACGCGCCACTCTGCGATATAAATAGATCTTCCAATGCAGAATATCGTAGGTATTGTACATATAAAATTTGTATAGAGAAAAAGTATTTATACGAAAAATATTTAATTGTTTCATTAAAAGTTTTATATCAATTTTATATTACTAAGAATTGTTTCTTGTTTCATGTATGTATTTTTTGTACTTAATTCTAATATTTTTATTAATTTACACTTTAATTACTTCATTCCTTTTACACATATATTACTTTTTATCGAAAGTAAGAGCGTAATTATATTTAAAATGGATTTAATGTTTAAATTATAAAACTAGCATAAACAGCTTGTTAGGGACATGTTGCTCTTTAAGCTTATTCAGCGATAATTTGATGAAACTTTGTTGATGAACGCATTATGTGATCGACGCATTATTGTAATGACAACGTTTGCACCGTTTGCCATTTTCTTTATTGTTGCTGAAATATAAAGGAGCACATTTTAGGATAATTTCTTGTCTGCAGACATGATGTACGTAAAAATAATTTCATTAAAATCGGGGGAAAATACATTGATTAATACTAATTTACATAAAAACATGATTTTTACACATTATAACTTGGTTTATCAACATTACATTTATTACGCATATGCTTTTCATCAAATGCACAAAATTCAACAGTACTCTAGTGTATAATATTATCCACAAATTAAATTGCATTTATCATGTTCTAATAAACTCGGAAAAATAATTTACAATTATTTGTATAAATTCAATATTACTAGCCATATATATTTTTATCCGAGTAAAATGTAAAAAAATTGTGCATTAAAATGTCTTTACATATAAATTTAAAACTGTTATAATAAAACCAAAGATATTAAATTTTAAAGTCATTTTATAAAGATACAGATATTGGATTTACGCAATAAAAATATGAATTTGGCATTGAACAGTAATTAATCGGATTATTGAGAAATATTGATTTATGAAGATGTTACACAGTCAATGCTTTTTTTCGTTTGCACACATAAGTTATTCACTTTGCGATCTAAAACCGTAAAATAATGAATCACCTAACAGCAATAAAGCATTATTACTTTACATTCCAGGCATGACAAATTCAAATCGAAAACTGCCATGGTTACTTTACGGCTAACAAATAATTCCTGCGTCCCATTTCGTTGCGCGATGCATAAACTCCTAGTTTTGAACTTAAACTCGTCGAAGATAGATAGACTAAAAAACAAGTCCGTGTTGATTTCTTATTCGTCGCAAAAAAACGAACTCAGAAGTGTTTAGAAAAGAAATATTCGCGCAAAAAAACGAATGTATTAATGCTCGAATACATAAATAACATATAATTTTTAGATTGCAATCTACAATTTCAATTATTTTTTAATTATACTTCACTGATTATGTTCCGTTCATCGCCACAGTTTTAAGAACAAGACAAGAGCAAAATGCGAAAAAAATGGCGACTGTTCCACGCCACGGATTTTCAATCGCTGATGCTTCCATGCTTCACTCTTTGCCGTATGCTCGGAATATTTCCGTACAAAATCAGCGGTTCGAGCTTCGAAGCTTCCAAATCTCGCTATATACTGTCATCTATTGCTCTCGGCGTTTTCTGCTTCTTCTTCATAGGAAATTTCTACGAATTACACATTACCAAAAAGATCCAGCTTAATGGTGTACCCGATACTCTTCAAACTGATTGCTTCTGCACAGTCGGTGGTTTTATAACAATTGTGACATACATTCTGAGTGGTCAGCGAATGCGTTTGCTGCAAACCGTGATGAAGGTCTCTTCAACACTGCCTCCGAAGACATACGATAGACTTTCCAGAATCCTTCACGCCAAAGACATCATCGGTTTTGTTTTCCTTTTTGGGCAAATAGTAAACTGTCGAGATGTCAGAATTATAAACGCCATGTCTAAAATGTTTTCACTGTACATTTACTGCTGATAGTTTCAGATGGACATGCGTACATGAATTGCGTTTGCGTGTTAAAAGCTTGTTTTCGGAAAATCAACGACAATCTATTAAATCTGCGGAAGCTCGCGATAAATAATGAATCGCATCGCTTCATGCATGTCTATCGCGAGCGTGAGAATTCGTTTCTTCTAGTAAAACTCAGAATGCTGCAAAAGTGGCATCTGATGATTAGCGACACAGTGCAGATGTTAAACGTGATTTTCAGTCCGCAGCTTCTTGCTACAGTAGTTATGACTTTCACCGAGATTACTTTCCATCTATATTTTTATGCAATACAATTGCGCATAGTACAAAAGATGCCCATCGTCAATTTGGATAAACAGATTTGGTACTCGCATATGTCCACGGCCATAGTTTATTATTCTATAAAATTAGCGCTAATAGTTTGGTCCTGCGAAACCGGCAAAAATGAGGCTTTGAAGATTGGTACTACTGTGCACGACGTGCTCGTCAGCATCAAAGACAAGCAACTCAAAGACGAGGTAGTAACATATAATTTAATTTGCATATTTTTATTAGAGATTTGGATCGAACTGGAAACGGAACCGACAATCGTAGAAAAAACCGTAAATCGAAAATAATTTAACCGATCCGGTTCCGGTGTTATAAACTTTATAAAATTTCGGCTCAGTTACAGTTTCGATTTGATAAAAAAAATGAAATGATTACGATTACAGTTTCGATTACAGTTGCGGAACGGTTATCTGTTCCAATTCCGATTCGATCTCTAATTTTTAAAATAACGTTTTGCATGTGCGTTATTGTTTTATATTAAAACCAAATTTATGTAATTTTCTTATCAAGTCTGTATTTAACTGCTTTGTGATTTGATGTTGCAGCTACAGCTGTTTTCGTTACAAATACTACATCGCAATAACACATTCTCCGCAAAGGGTCTTACTGTGGACGCAAAATTTATTACTGCGGTGTGTGATCGATCACAATCATCTGTTTATTAATCAATTTTGTCTTATTATATTAAATATATGTGTATGATTTATTCTATAACTGTTTTTATAGATAGTAGGCAGTATCACAACATACCTGTTAATCTTGGTGCAATTTATGAACGCAGCAAATAATTGCGATGGGAAATGGTCAGGCAATGCTACACAAATATTCGAAGTAAAAAATGACAACTAATTAAAGACAAATAAATTTTTAATATTCAAAAATTTTAAATTTTTTGTTATTTATTAATGTAATTGAGTGATTAGCATTCGATGTTTTATATATGTTAAACGCTAAAAAACTCATGTTTCAGTGTTAACAATTAATTGCAAATAAAATAGTGAAAAATTTCTTAAAAAATTTTTTGAATTTTATTTGCTCTTAAACATATTGCACGATACGATATAAATACATAAAAAAATACTTCTTTAAACTTATTAATAAACGCATTATGTAATTGACACATTAATGCACTTACTAATAATTTCATCAGTCGGGGATATAATTAAATTAATACTAATCTAGATAATAGCATTTTTTTCTAGATAATAGCAAAACAATATAAATTGGTTTATTAACATTACATTTGATGCTCATATGACCTTCACAAGAATCTATTAGTGTTTCTCAAAATATGCACAATTCAATAGTATTTTAGTGTTTTATAGTACACACAAAATTAAATTGGATTTATATGTTCTATTAACTCTATTAAAATTATTTCAAAAAAATATTTTTAATATACATTATTAGTGTAAATTAAACATAAAAAATATGTATTAGTAGCAATACATTTTTATTGGAGTACAAAAATGTGCATTAGTGTTTTCAAATTTAAAATTATTATAATTATATAGAACCTAAAATGTAACGTTTTGTAAATGTAATGTTTTAAAATTATTTTATAAAATTGCCGAATATTAAACCTTCGCCAAAAAATGCAGACTTTGTCATCAGAGAATTATTACTAATTAAATTTACTAATCTATGTGAATATTACGCAGACAATGTTTTTCATTTCATGCACACATAATTTGTTTTATATGCAATATAGATGCGCAAAATGATGATCGTATGATAGCAGTTACACATCATTATTACTTTATGAGCTGTATTCTAGCGAAGACAAATACCGATCGAAGAGCGCTATGGTTACTTCATCACTAACAAATGATCCCCGCTACCCATCTCGCTATGCAATACACGTCGCACGTGAAGTGCTTTCAGTTTTGCATTCAAACCCGTCGAGGATAGAAAGACTAAAAAGAGTTTATATCGATTTATTATTCGTCGCAGAAATATAAACTTATATAAAAACTATACTTAGAAAAAGAGGAACATTCGCAAAAGACAAATGTATTAATGCTCGTATGCATAAAGCATAATTGTGATGCATAATTTTTAAATTGCAATCTATAACTTCAATTGTTTTTCATTAAAACTCCACTAATTATGTTTCGTTCATCACCAAAGTTTCAAGGACGTGATAAAAGCAAGGTTAAGAAAAAATGGCGACTGTTCCATGCCACGGATTTTCAATCGCTGATGCTCCCCTGCTTCACCTTCTGCCGTATACTCGGAATATTTCCATACAAAAGCAACTGTTCGAATTTTGAAGCTTCCAAGCCTCGTTATATTCTGTCATCCATCGTTTTTGGCGTTCAATGTATTTACTTCGCAGAAAAACTTTACCGAAGGGATATTATGAAAATGATTCAGTATGATGGCGTACCCGATGTTCTTCAGAGTTACAACTTTATCATAATCAGTGGTTTTATAACAATTATAACATACATTCTGAGTGGTCCGCGAATGCGTTCGCTGCAAACCGTGATGGAGGTCTCTTCAGCACTGCCTCCGAAGACATATGATAGACTTTCTAAAATTCTTCACGCCAAAGACATGATTGGTTTCTTTTTCCTGTTTGGGCAAATAGTAAACTGTCGAGATGTCACCGTTCTAGGCATCATATTTAAACTTTTCGCACTGTACAGTGTACTGCTGATATTTCAGATGGACATGCTGTACATGAATTGCGTTTGCGTGCTAAAAGCTTGTTTTCAGAGAATCAACGACAATCTTACAAATCTGCGGAAACTCGTGATAAACAATGAATCGCATCGCTTCATGCATGTTTATCGCCAGCGTGCGAATTCGTTTCTTCTAGTGGAACTCAAAATGCTGCAAAAGTGGCATTTAATGATCAGCGACACAGTGCAGATGTTAAACGTGATTTTTACTCCGCAGCTTCTCGCTAGCATAATCATGACTTTCGCCGAGATTACTTTCAGTTTGTATTTTTACATAGTAGAATTCCGCGAAAAGGTATCAATTGTCAATCTGAACAAACAGATTTGGTACTCGTACATAACCACGCCCGTAACGTATTATTTTATAAAGTTAGCGTTAATAGTCTGGTCCTGTGAAACCGGTAAAACTGAGGCCTTGAAGATCGGTACTACTGTCCACGACGTGCTTGTCAGCACTACGGACAAGCAAGTCAAAGAAGAGGTAGCAACATATAATCTAATTTGTATATTTTTATAATAATGTTTTGCATGTGCGGTAGCGCGTTATTATTTTATATTAAAATCAAAATTATGTAATTTTGTTATCAAATTTTTATTTAACTGTTTGCAAATTTGATGTTGCAGTTACAGCTGTTTTCGCTGCAAGTACTACATCGCGATAATACATTCTGCGCAAAAGGTCTTACTATAGATATGACGTTTCTTACTGCGGTGAGTGATCGATCACAACTATTTGCTTATTTATTATTTTGTGTTATTAATAAATTTAAAAATATGTTTATATATTATTTATTCTATTGTTTTTATAGATAGTGGGCAGTATCACGACATATCTGTTAATCTTGGTACAGTTTATGGACGTAGCGAATAACTGCGATGGAGAATTATCAGGCAATGTTACACAAATATTCGAAGTAGAAGAATACAACTAAATAAAAAGAAAAAAATGTTAATATTTAAAAATTTTTTATTTTTTGTTGTTCATTAATGTAATTGAGCAATTAGCGATCTATAATTTATAAAACACTGGAAAACTTGTTACGTCTTAGTGTTAACAATTAATTGCAAATAAATAGAAATAGAAATTTCTTGAATTTTATTTGCTCTTAAACATACTGTTTGATACAATATAAATACGATATAAACACATAAAAAAATACTTTTTTAAACTTATTAACAGTTGCATTATGTGATTGACACATTATCGCACCTGCTAATAATTTCATCATTCGAGCGTATAAATAAATTAATACTAATCTAGATAATAGCATTTTTTTCTAGATAATAGCAAAACATCATAATTTGGTTTATTGATATTATATTTGTTGCTTATATGTCTTTCACAAAGATCTATCAGAGTCTTTCTAAATATGCGCAATTCAACAGTATTTTAGTGTTTTATAGTACACACAAAATTATATTGAATTTATTTGTTCTATTAACTCTGTTAAAATTATTTCAAAAAATTATTTTTGATTTACAGTTATTTGTGTAAATTAAACAAAAAATATACATTAGTAGCAATACATTTTTATCAGAGTAAAAAACGTGCATTAGTGCCCTCAAAATTAAAATTATTATAATTATATAGAATCTAAAATGTAACATTTTAAAATTATTTCATAAAATTGCCGAATATTAAACCTTTGCAAAAAATGCAAAGTTTGTCATCAGACAATTATTACTAGTTAAATCTACTAATTTATGTGAATATTACGCAGACAATGTTTTCCGTTTCATGTATGCACAAATAATTTGTTTTATATGCAATCTAGATGCGCAAAATAATAATCGTATAACAGCAATTACACATCATTACTTTGTCAGCTGTATTCTAGCGAAGACAAATACCGATCGAAAAGCGCTATGGTTACTTCGTGACTAACAAATTATCCCCGCTTTCCATCTTGCACGTCAAAGTGAAATGCTTTCAGTTTGCATTTAAACTCGTCGAGGATAGAAAGACTAAAAAGAGTCTATATCGGTTTCTTATTTGTCAAAGAAAGATGAATTTATATAAAAACTATACTCAGAAAACGAGGAACATTTGAAAAAGACGAATGTAACGCTCGAATGCATAAAGCATAATTGTGATGCATAATTTTTAAATTGCAATCTATAACTTCCATTGTTTTTTATTAAAACTCCACTAATTATGTTTTGTCCATTACAAAAGTTTCAAAGACGTGATAAAAGCAAGGTTCGGAAAAAATGGCGACTATTTCATGCCACGGATTTTCAATCGCTGATGCTTCCGTGCTTCACTTTCTGCCGTATGCTCGGAATATTTCCATACAAAATCAACTGTTCGAGGTTTGAAGTTTCCAAGCCTCGTTATATTCTGTCATCCATCGTTTTTGGCGTTCAATGTATTTACTTCGCAGGACAATTTTATGATTTTAAAACGATTCAGTATGATGGTGTACCCGATGCTCTTCAGAGTTACTGCTTTTTCATAATCGGTGGTTTTATAACAATTGTGACATACATTCTGAGTGGTCCGCGAATGCGTTTGCTGCAAACCGTGATGGAGATCTCTTCAGCATTGCCTCCGAAAACATATAATAGACTTTCCAGAATTCTTCACGCCAAAGACATCATCGGTTTTTTTTTCCTGTTTGGGCAAATACTAAACTGTCGAGCTGTCACCATTCTACGCATCATATTTAAACTTTTCGCATTGTACAGTTTACTGCTGACATATCAGATGGACATGCTGTACATGAATTGCGTTTGCGTGCTAAATGCTTGTTTTCAGAGAATCAACGACAATCTAACGAATCTGCGGAAACTCATAATAAACAATGAATCGCATCGCTTCATGCATATCCACCACGAGCGTACGAATTCGTTTCTTCTAGTGGAACTCAAAATGCTGCAAAAGTGGCATTTAATGATCAGCGACACAGTGCAGATGTTAAACGTAATTTGTACTCCGCAGCTTCTCGCTAGCATAATCATGACTTTCGCCGAGATTACTTTCAGTTTGTATTTTTACGTAGTAGAATTTCGCGAAAAAGTGTCTATTGTCAATCTGGACAAACAGATTTGGTACTCGTACATAACCACGTCCGTAACGTATTATTTTATAAAGTTAGCATTAATAGTTTGGTCCTGTGAAAATGGTAAAACTGAGGCCTTGAAGATCGGTACTACTGTCCACGACGTACTTGTCAGCACTACAGACGAGCAAATCAAAGAAGAGGTAGCGACATATAATTTAATTTGTTTGTTTTTATGATAATATTTTGCTTCTGCGCGAGCGCTTCATTGTTTTATATTAAAATAAAATTTATGTAATTTTGTTATCAAGTTTCTATTTAACTGTTTTGAATTTTGATATTACAGTTACAACTGTTTTCGCTGCAAATACTACATCGCGATAATACATTCTGCGCAAAAGGTCTTACTATAGATATGACGTTTCTTACTGCGGTGAGTGATCGATCACAACTATTTGCTTATTTATTTTACTTTGTGTTATTAATAAATCTAAAAATATGTTCATATATTATTTATTCTATAATTGTTTTTATAGATAATAGGCAGTATCACGACATATCTGTTAATCTTGGTACAATTTATGGACGCAGCGAATAACTGCGATGGAATATCGACAGACAATGTTACACAAATATTCGAAGTAGGAGATTAGAATTAAATAAAAAAAAATTTTAATATTTAAAAATTTTTTAATTTTTTGTTGTTTATTTTAATGTAATTGAGCAATTAGCGCTGAATATTTTATGAAATACTGGAAAACTTGTTATGTTTTAGTGTTAACAATTAATTGCAAATAAAATAGTGAGAAATTTATTTGAATTTTACTTGCTCTTAATCATACTGCTTGATGCGATATAAATACATTAAAAAAAAATGATTTAAAGTTATTAATAGACTCATTATGTGATTATCGTATCTGTTAATAATTTCATCAGTCGGAAGTGGACAAAGTGTAAATCAATTAATACTAATTTAGATAATAGCATTTTGGTACATTATGACTTGGTTTATCGATATTACCAGGGCCGCGTTTGTAAAATTTGCGCCCAGGAGCTTGTGATCTTCGAGCGCCTCGATCTAGCCTCCCTCCCCCAATGAGTAAACAGTAAATAATTAACATTTTGAATATTAATTAAATTCTACCGAAACACACTTAAGAACAAAGAGATAATTGAAAATGGAACATTTTTTTATGAATATATAGAAGCTTCAGCGCCTAGGGGCTTAAACCCCAAAAGCCCATAGGTAAACGCGCTACTGGATATTACATTTGTTACGAATATGTCTTTCACAATGATCTATTAGTGTTTCTCAAAATATGCTAAATTCTACAGTGTTTTAATGTTGTATGTTATACATAAATTAATTTGGATTTATATGTTTTATTATACTTAAAAAGTATTTTTTTTTACTATTATCTGTATAAATTAAGCATAAAAAATATGTAATGATAGCAATATGTTTTGATTGAAGTAAAAATATTAGTGCCCTCAGATTTAAAGTTATCATAATAGAACCCAAAATGTTACTTTCTAAAATTATTTCGTAAAAATGCTAAATTTTATGCCCGCGCAACAAAAATTTAAATTCTGAGTCATTACTAAAACAGTCATTACTAATTGGATCTTTAAGAGCAACTAATCTAAGTGAGTGATACGCGGCCAATAATTTTTATTGCATGTGTGCACATATAATTTGCTTTATGTGCGATCTAAACGCACAAGTTGACGAATCGTTTGACAGCAATTACACATTATTACTTTATGCATTCCAGAGGTTTCAAGTGTCGATCGAAAAGCACCATGGTTACTTCATGGCTAACAAATGTTCCGTACGTTTTGTCTTGCTATGTGAAAAGTGAAGCTCGCAGTTTTAAACGTAAACTCGCCGAGACTAGATAGATACATTCTACCGATCATGTTCGGTCTGTTATCGAAGTTTCAAGAACGAATCAAGAATAAAGTGCGGAAGAGATGGCGATGGCTGTTTCACGCCACGGATTTTTATTCTTTGATGTTTCCTTGCTTCATATTCAGTCGCATGTTAGGAATATTTCCGTACAAATTCAACGGCTCGTCCTTTGAGACTTCCAAATCACGCTATATTTTGTCGTCCGTCGTTATCGGCGTTTTCGGCATTTTTCTGTTCATAATGTTCTACAACATGGACATTAGTGGGGACATCCAGTTGGACGGCGTGCCCGACGCTCTTCAGGGTAACTGCTACTACACGCTCGGTGGTTTTATTACGATCGTCACGTATATTCTATGCGGGTCGCGAATGCGCGTGCTGCAGTCCGTGATGGAGGTTTCCTTAACGTTGCCACCGAAATCATATCGGGAACTCTCCAAAATCATTCACGCTAAAGACATTGTCGGCTTTGTCTTCTTATTCGGGCAAATAGCGAACTGTCGAGCCATCACTATCATCCACGCCATGTCCAAACTGCTTGGACTATATGTCACGCTGCTGGTATTTCAGATGGACATGCTGTACATGAATTGCGTTTGCGTACTAAAGGCCTGTTTCCAGGCAATTAACGACAATTTGACGACTCTGCGGGAGCTGGTGATAAACGATGAGCCGCGTCTCCTCATGCGAATCTACGACGAGAGAAACTCGGTTCTTTTGATGAAACTGAAAACCCTGCAGAAATGGCATTTGAAGATCAGCGACACAGTGCAAATGCTAAATGTGATTTTCAGTCTCCAGCTTCTTGCTACTGTAGTTATGACCTTTGTCGAGATCACTTTCAGCTTGTATTTTTACATAGTGCGATTAGTGGAAAAAGTCTCTGTCATCAATCTCGACAAACAAATCTGGTACTCGTATATAGCTACGTCTGTAACATATTATTTTATAAAACTGGCGTTAATAGTGTGGTCCTGCGAAACCAGCAAAAATCAAGCTCTAAGGATCGGCACTAGTGTGCACGACGTGCTCCAAAACACCAAAGACAAGCAAATCAAACACGAGGTAGCAATATGATTTAAATGGTGTAGATTTATAAAAAAAAAATTTTTTTTGGTATTTTTTATGTCATAATCGGCTTTATATAATTTTGTCACCGAGTCTCTATTATCAACTATTTTGTAATTTAATGTTGCAGTTAGAGTCGTTTTCGCTGCAAATACTGCATCGCGATAATACATTTTCCGCAAAGGGTTTTACTGTGGACGCAAAACTTCTTACTTCGGTGAGTCATCGATCATAATCGTTTGCTTATTAATCCTTTTATCTTGTTAATTACGTTAAATATATATGTATTATTTTATTCTGTAATTGTTTTTGTAGATAGTGGGCAGTATCTGTACGTATCTGTTAATCTTAATACAGTTCATGAATGCGAAGCATTTTTGCGATGATCCATCGTCATCCAATGTTACACAAATATTCCAAGTTGAAAATAATAACTAATCGAAGGAAAGAATCGTTTTCGATATGAAAAATACCTTTTTTTTTTTGTTTATTTGTATATTATATTTGTATATTGTGAATAAAATATTATTGGTTGTATTTAATGTACAGAGACATTTACCTAATACTTTTTTTAATTTATAAAAGAATTAATTACAGATAAAATTTTAAAAACAAATATTTTTACCCAAAATATTCTTCCAAAATTTCTGAACACCTGAGATTTATTTAATAAATATGATAAAATATAGTAAACAAAAAACAGTTATAAAAAATTTAAATAAGCCACATGCAACGCTTTTATTTCAAATATTGTTACAAAATTCATAATCTTTAGTTGTCTTTTTTTAAAGATAATTTGCAAATGTAAGATATTTGTATACAATAATTTGTATTTTCAGTAGCTTTCATACAATATAACCATTATTAATTATTAGCAATTTTCTCATCAATCCACGATTTGAATGCGGACACTTTAGTGTACACGGATGGCGCTCCAACGGTGCCGCATGGTATAATGCCCCAAGATACGATACCAGTGAGTTGATCTTCTCCGTCGACACAGCTCGTCAATGGCCCGCCAGAATCACCCTAAAAGCGTATTAAAAATTAGATATGAAATTTTTGTGCTAATAAATAGTAAAAAGGAGATATTGTTACAGTTTACTGCAAATTTGCAACTTACGCTGCATGCGGAGATTCCGCCAGTCAATGGTCCTGTGCAAACATTGGTCTCGTGAACGGGTGAGGATCCCGCCAGACGGCTGACTGCTTCGCTGCAGACGGAAAGATCAACATATTCCAAATTAACGTATTGAAGTTTATTCGGCATCTTTGGCAAACGGCTCGTTGAAGTTGAGCCCCAGCCACACAGCGTTGCATTTCCAGATGGTTCGCTTTCTGCTTCAGGCAATTTGATGGCTTGTACCGCTGCCGTAAATGACAATGGAGACTTCAGCTTGATCAAAGCGATATCATACGGGCCGACGCCGCTGAGAATTGCAAAATATACATATGCATGCATAAATCTGACAAATTTGTATTGTTAATAAAAAAATAATATGCGATAAAATAAACATTGAGTTCAATGTTCTTTATATTTTGATACAAAATCTAATCATGTTTTAAATAAATCATTATTTTATTTTGGACATAACTTATCTAATCGTACACTTCAAATGATAATGCTACTATCAATGTCTAATATTTTATCTTTATAATATAATAGTTTTTATCACTGTATATTTTTTATCAGTATATTAATAAAACATTATTAATTATATATTAAACCAGTACTAACGAATTGAATTGTATTACATAATAAATTTAAATAAATTTTTCTTGCTGTTTTTAATATTTTTATAACTTACCCCTTATATTGTTCATGCACGATGGTTTTGGCCGCTTTGATTATTTGTTCAGTGCTTTCGCGAGCTTTAAGATTGTGCTTTCCAGCTTTGACGGTAATTTTGACAAGTCGAGAAACTGCGTTTACGCAGTGTCCTGCAGTTAGGATCCATTCGCTGTTTATGATTGATCCGGCGCAAAAGTGCGAAGTAAGTCCAAATATACCCCGTTGTAGAGAAACTATGTATGGGTAAGCTCCTTCCGGTGCCTCTTTACCTCCAACTACTTGGGGCGAAGATGACAGAGACGGCACTCGAAGGCCGAGATAAGGTTTCTCTGAAATTAGAATAAATAATTCTAATGTGATTCCAAAATGATTTGCAACAAAATTAATTGTAACGCGTCTAAATGTAATAGAAATAAAATTAGAGAATTTGTAATTATGTAATGTAAAAGTATGTAAATCTTGCTACTTGTTTTAAGATTGAAACGCTTTAATAAGTAATCAATATGATTTTGATAATTGTTTATTAGAACAAGAAGTTATATTTTATTTTACTGCCTACTTTTTAAATATGGTCAGCTAACAATTTATGCATATTGTACAAAAATTGACTTACCGGCTTGAGTCACCGCGAGGAGAGCAAAGAATACGATCGCTTTGAAAGACATTTTGTTGTTTGATACCAATCCTATAAATTGGCTTTATTTATACCCCCCTTTTAGTAAATGTTTTCATATGATATCAATGTCTGCGTCGATAATCCGTGATATTTCACAAGAAATCTATGATAAGATTAAATTGAGAAAGATTTTATTGTCACAGAGTTTTTGCAATATATTAATAGAAACATTAAATCATAAAAATTTAAGTGTTAAGATTAATTTTCGTAAAGCAAAAGTTTTGCTGATTGTAGATTTTGCTCATTTTAACAATACTTGTGCAATTTCTGCGGCAGAATGGTTTTAATAAAATTAATATAAAATGACCAATGTATAAATCACAATTTTACGTAAGATATATTTCACTTATCTGTATTTTATATTGCAAAATTTCTCTGATACAAGTTAGTTTAATCAAGTTCTTTTCACAGAAGAGAAATCGTTGAATTAAAAGAAAAAATATTTGCTGACGCAACAGAGAAAATTAAACAACTTATAAAAGATTAATAGAATAGAAAAGATTAAAGATAGATTTAATCATTCTAATAATAAAAAATTTTAAAAAGCATTTAACACGAAATATTTAGGAAAAACATTAATAAAAATATAATTAAAAGATCTTTTTCTTTATTATTTTACTTAATATTAATTATATTATATTTGACACATAATTCACATGTCAAATTTGTTTAAACCATAATTTACATAAAGACTAGAACATGAAAAGAGGATCGAGTTGCAGATCGAGCATAAGCGTGTTATTTGCAGATATTTTACAAGTCTTTTCTTTATTCAGTTATATGATTGCTTAGTTTTCACTTCAGGTATGTTCAAAATAAAATAATATAGAAAATGCAATGTGCAAATTTGTATATATATATATTGCATATTTATTTGTCTTGAAGTATTTAGAATATTATGTATTCAATTGTTTTTATACATAGTCAACATAATATCATTAATTAGTAGCGATTTTCTGCTGAATCCATGAATTGAATTTGGATACTTTCGTGTATACGGATGGCGCTCCTGTGGTGCCGCACGGAATAATGCCCCACGATACAATACCGGTGAGTATTTCTGAGTTTCCAACTTTGCTTGTCAATGGGCCGCCAGAATCACCCTAAAAGTGTGTTGAAAATTTGATACATTAAATTAAGTCGCATTAATGCAAAGTGAAGAAATTAAAATCATAATTCACTGAAAGTTTGCAACTTACGCTGCATGCGGAGGTTCCGCCAGTCAACGGTCCGGTGCAAACATTGGTCGCATGAACGGGTGAAGATCCTGTCAAGCGCCTGACTGCATCGCTGCAGGCGACAAGATCGAGATACGGCAAACTTACTTCTTGAAGTTTGTCTGGCATTCGTGGAAAGCTGGTGGTTGAGGTAGAGCCCCATCCACACAGAGTGGCGTTTCCAAGTGGTGTGCTTTCTGGTGTAGGTAATACGACGGTTCTTACCTCGATTGAGAGGTTCAACGGAGTCGATAGTTTGATCAGAGCGATATCGTACGGGCCGACACCACTGAAAGAATTAACAGAATTGTATTGTTAAAGAAAAATGATTAACAAAGTTAATTACGCGCGCAATGTTGTGCATATGTCAATTAAAACATCTAATTTCTTGTATACATTATCGTTTGTCTAACAATGAGACATAATTTCTCCAATCGCAAACTTTAAATATTTATTTAACGCAATCTATAGATAGCATTGAAAGTATGAATTAAAATAGAAAAGTTGTTACGTCTGTCTACATTGTCTTTACATGCAATTGTTAGTATATAATAAGTAAATACTTTATTAATTATTTATTAAATAAATATTAATTAATCAATTAACTGTCCTTACAATTAATTAATTAGTTTTCAATATTTTTATTACTTACCCTTGATAATTTTCATGCACGATGCTTTTAGACACTCTAATTACTTGTTCAGTACTCTCAGTAATTTTGATATTATGCTTTCCGGCCTTAACAACAAATTCGCCATAGGAAGGAACTGCCAGAGGACAGTGTGCTGCGGTTAAGATCCATTGTTTGTCTATGATGGATCCGGCGCAGAAGTGCGAAGCAGTCGAAGTTGATGGACCCCATTGAAGAGAAACTATGTGCGGGTGAGATCCTTTTACTGCTTCGCGACCTCCGACGACGTGAGGGAACACAGGCGTTCGAAGACCGAGGAAGGGTTTCTCTGATAGAATTAATAACAGTTTAAAAATTTGCGACAAAATTAAACACGACACGTTTAACAGAATATAACAATGTAGCAATAAAGTTAGAAAATTTGTAACATTATAATGTAAAATTATATCTGGCTATTTGCTTCAAGATTAAAACAATTTAATCAATTATAATTAATAAATGTTTAATATAAAACAAAAATTCACACATTTCACTTTTTACTTTTTAAATCTGACCAACTAATTTACTTGGTTTATATTTTTAGATTATTATATTATATAAAAGGATTTACCGGCGAAAGCCACTGCTAGGAGAGCGAGAAATACAATTACTTTAGGCGTCATCTTGTCGTCTAATGTCAATCTTATAAATGAACAGCATTATATACATTCGTTAAGTGCATTCATATGATATCAATAATGACATAGCATTGATCGTCGATTGTAATTCATAAGAAACTATGATAGGCTTGAGATAAGAATGCTTTTGTTATCTTATTTTTCTGTTACAAGATACTAAATATAAGATACTACAAAGTTTCTTTGTGTAACTTGTATTATTTCTTTTGTAACTTGTGTTATACTAATGTAAGCCTTAGGCTCAAAAAACTTGATTATTAACATTAATTTAGACAAATATAATATCTGACAAATTATACATTAAATCTGTTTAAATAATAATAATGAAACTCTTTTAATAATCAACTATGTTACAATTAATTATGGATTTTCCAACCGTTGAGTACTTCATGTTATCGTTATCTTTAGTTACAATTAATCTTTATTCGCAGAAAATAGGTATAAAAAGTGTGCAAAAAGATAATAATCTTGTTTACGATAACGTAAATTGATTTATTTCTCAAAATTGATAAAAAAAACTTCAATAAACTTTTAATAAAACGAACACGAGATTTCAAGTAAAATAATTATGGATGACATATATGTATAGATATTTTATATAAAAGATATAGAAATTGCAATATATAATTCTTTTTATTTTTAATTCTTTTGTTCTACATTACATAAGATACATTATTGTTGTAATACTTGTTGGTCACTTTCAGTTATTAGCAATTTTTCCATGATTTCGTAATATGGATATTTCAATGTACACGAACAACGCATAGAATAATACTCCAGAAAACAATTTCAATAAATATGCTGATTGCCGTAAAATGGTAAAATGCCTAATGTGAGTAATTATGCATTAACGATGTGCTTAATCCAATCAACGTAGGAAGATACGCGAGTGTAGACGGAAGGAGAACCGCTGACACCGCACGGATAAACAACCCATGACACAATACCAAGCTGAGTAGAATTGTTATCGTCAAATTGAACCAGTGGACTACCAGAGTCTTTCTAATAAGAAAAATACTTAGTGAGCAAAAAAAGTTGTGCAAAAAATCTTTACGTATTTAATCATTTTGTATCTATCGCATCTTTGTATCTGTCACATGAATTTCAGAATGAGATCTGCAAATTGATCTTTAGAATAATTTTGCAACTTTTATAAAGAAAATAAAGTTAAAAGTTAATATTATTTTGTGAATTGATTAATAATCAGATCAATAGTCGATTAGATATCATTAATATTAATCTAACGAATCGTAGAAAAATTAATTTCACTTACGAAGCAGGCAGATGTTTCTTTGACAGCGTCAGTGCAGATTTGCGAATCATAGAGTTGCAAAAAGCCGACTTTTTCCAACTTTTTCAGACAGGATTGATTGTCCAGTAGGGGAATGGTGGCTTTTTGAAGAACCTTAGGAAACGTTGGGAGCAAATTCTTGGAAGTCGAACCCCATCCGGACAACACAACGTTTCCAATTCGCACCTCATTTTGTTGAGGTAGATTGACAGCGGACACTCTCTCGTTGAAAATGAGATGAGTGCTCAGTTTCAGAACAGCAATATCGTATGGAGCAACACCTCTGAAAAAGCGCAATATGATTCAGTTCAAAGTATCGTAACAGACGCAAGTGTATTATCAATTGAGAAAATATTGATTGCGAGAGAATTATTGAAAATGGTGTCACGACATTGTCTCATGACATAGATTGCGGCTTTTGAAATGATTGTATATAATATGACTCGATCTTCAGACTTTTTAAGAGTCTCTACATAGTGATAATGTTTAAAAATAATAAATTTATTTTTTCTATCTTAAATAAATAAATCTTATAAATAAATGTATAATTGTGTTATGATCAATATCACATTAATTAACTTTTATATAAAATTGTATTGTTAAATTAAGCGTATTCTTCAGTGCGAGTGTTCTATTATCGAATAGATAAGATTATTATTTCGTAATGACACAAATATGAATTATTTATTAATGTCTTATGCGATTATATCAACAAAGTGTTATCAGTTCGCATATTTTAGCTTTTGTAAGTTCAAGTTGAACATGAAAAAATTGATTTTTGATGGTATAAATGGCGAAAACGTACCCTGGATATTTTTCGTGAACGTAAGACTTCGCGACATCAACTACTTGCTCAGTGGATTCGGTTTCAAGCAGGACATGCTTGCCAGCAATTACTCTAAGCTTGCCGAGTCTATTGATAATGCAGTGTGCAGCAGTTATAACGTGATTTTCATTTAGGATCGAACCACCGCAGATATGGCTGAACGGGAGGATAGGTGGCAAGCCATATTGAACGGACACCTGGTAAGGGAATTCACCCGGCACAGCATCCTCACCGTCGGTGATTCTCGGCTCCAGGCCGTAGGGTAAGGCCAGAGACGCTATAAAAAATTTTAACAAAAATTTTCTACACATAGTCTTTAAAAGACGAGAACGATTTTTGAGAATTCTCAATACTATATTTTTGTGTTTCTAATGTCATTTTATCACAAAATTTGAGATTGATTGCTCTTATTAAGTTTAAAAATATGATATGTTAAATATTTATCTACCAGTATAATTATTAGAATTACAAAGAACATTATTACTTATGCAACATGTTTGAAACAGAATATTTGTGCATTTTTATAAAATACTTTTTCTCTCTCGTTCAATATTATTTAAAATTGTAGATATAAATTTATTTTATGATAATGACGGTATTATAAATAAATTGCAAAAAATACGTGCTTACCCTGGAATACCAGAACGACGGATAAGAGACACTGGACCAACATTGTCGTTAGATTTAAAGAAACCTAAGCGCCGAATAAAAATTTTCGGTTTATATACCACGAAAAAAAGACGTAATATGTTATACACGATAAGATGACAATATTTTAGATTTATTTGATAATATTTTTAAGTGCATAGATAAGCATATATTTACTATTTATTTACCAATTCATAACAATTTGTCTCTTAAAGAAAATACTAATGCGTATCTTCTTAATCATACACTTGACCATTGTGCAGTGTGCGTTTAATTTTTACTCTCTACGCAGTATAACTTCCGCTTATATCATGAGCAATGCTTTTATTTATTGTATTGCATATCTTACAATTTATTTTAATTAAAATTTAATAAAATAAAAAATTAAATAGTCTAATAGTTTAAGTAAATAAAAATAATAGAATAAAAAGTATTAATTTATTATTATCTGTACAAAAAGCTCAGTATTAATCATTATAATAAATTACATAATATGTATATACTACATAAAAATTATGCTATCTAAAAATTATAAGTATATAATTCTGCATACGCGTGTTTTATATAATTTATAAATAAAAATATACAAATATACTACTGACACATATATTAAAGATATCTTACAATTATTTATTGCATTAAATTAGAAAAATTCCTAAAATTCTTAAATTTGCTATTAAATTTCTAAAGCTAAATTTCCGAAAAATTAATTTAGAAACGTAATTTAGAAACGTAATTCACAAACGTAACACGCGTAAAGGACGTGAAATCTATTACAGCATCTCATGCATTTGTTTTCTAACCCGAGAATTGATAATATCACACGAATAATGTGTCTGGCGTTATCTCCATTTAATTACAGATTTATCTTTTGTCGTCATCATACCCATTTAACTTATTTCGATAACAATACGAGTGCTTGATACGAATGTTATACTTTGTCTAGCGATGTCTATTGCGTAGGTAGGGAGATACCTACATATTTCGCAAAGGACATTAACTCGCTCTGATACATCTAAGAAACTAAGTACATTTGCATCAGAAGCGCGACTTCATGTATTACAGGTGACTAAGCGAGTGATTGCGCGAATACCCGCTCAAATTTCGCGCGCCGTCGGAACTATTTGAGTCACCGGCAAAAGAAACCCATAAGTTCCGCGATCGCGAAGTTCCACTGTGTACGCATATTTTATTCCGGCGACGCCTTTGGCCCAATCATCGGACGATCCTGAAAATGGAACAAGCATACGATAAATTTTCCGTATCGCAATATTATGATTAGCAGCGCATTAAATTAGGTCTGTATTAAGTCTTTTTTATGAATTGCAAAATTGTATATTGTCGATATGGATAAAGTTGAAGTGTATACCAAAAGTTGGATACATCAGATCTGCCATAGATCCAATTTGATAATGAGTGCCGTGAACTTTTGCAATTGCGTTAATCGCCTTCTTCGCTACGTACACCAAGTCGGTGTAATCCGAAAATTTCGAGCGTGTGTATCCCCACGGTACCAGCCACATTTGTGAGTAAGAATGCAAAGTCAAATACATTCCAAAATGTAAACTTGTTGGTTTCAATATTTATTTCTGAAGAGAACGTTTAAAATAAAATTTCAATAAATCGTGTGGAATGAAATGTGCTCGAATAGTTAAAATTAAATTAAATTAAATCTCGGACAGTTATAGTGTACCGTATATGCTACTTGTTCGCCAGAATATAATCTGACATGGCCTTCGTTTCCGGTTCAGAAAAAGCGTACGGTCCAGAGTAATTTTCGCGACAAGGATCTAAACTGGCCCCGTTCTCTTTCTCCTCGCCCCAGTGGTGTGCAAAATTTCGATTCGGATCAACGCCCTCGCATTTAGTCCAGAACCATCTAGTATAGTGTGTTAAGAACTGTAACAAATTGGGAGGCGACCTAGAAAAGAAGATGTATGTATTGATTTATTTTATTATAACGTAAAGCTTATATCGCTTTATCGTATATTGAAAAATATCTATTGACACGGACAACTCTCTTTTTCTAAAATCTTAAAATCGGAAGTCTTATCGCCTTTATCTAATCTTTGTTAAAGATTGATTTGTAATTTAAGAGATATAAATAATGTGCGAAATTCTTGATAACACATCGCGTTCGAGAGGTGCCAAAAGTCAGATTACATATGCAAATAACGTGCTACGCTAATATTATTTTGTTGTTCTGAATAAGTTATGATACTGGAACAATAAATGTGTTTTCTCTCTTCTCACCTGCTATCGTTTTCGCTTTCCACATGATTGCTTCTGGTTTTCCGCCAGAAACGATCGCCGGTGTGGCTGTACTCATAACCGTCGGGATTAGCGACTGGTAGAATCATCCAGTCCGAATTGTCCAGCAATTTCGAATAGGTTGAGTTCCTCTCAACCAACTGGCTCAATATGTAGGTCGCCACGGCGGTACCGATCCATTCTCGTCCGTGCATGCCTACAAATATGACGACAATTCACCAAAAACACGATATAACGGGACAAGATGCTCATAAAACGTGGGAAGCACGCGGATTCGACGTCGACGAAAATCAGATCGACCGTAAATATTCCACAATAAACTAAATTTTTATGCCGCTGAGAGAAACAATCGTCAAGAGAAGAAAATGAAATTCTTGTAATATCAATGCGTATATTTACAATTACTTTTCAATATTTATCTATTATTGATTTTTATAAACTTATTTTCGGAAGAAATAATCACCTGCAAAAAGACTTACCGGCATCGATCCAAATTGCGGGCTTTCGTTCGCCATCCTTGTTCAATCCTATCGACACTTTTGCCATTTTAATCGGTTGACCCTCGTAACTCTGGCCGATGGTCGTCAATCCTACCATTTTGGGGTACCTGAAAGCCAGATATTCTAAATAGCGGACGATATCTACAAAAATACCAATTTATTAATTTGCAGGAATCAAATTTTTATTATGTTGTTTGACTATACTTTTTATTTATTTATTTAAAATTCATATATTTAAAAAAAGTAGCTAATGTATGTTTATAAGATTACTCGTACACTAAAAATAGTTTACGATGTAAAAATATTTTCAGCTCACACACACACACACGCATGTTTTACCTCCATATCGATGATAACGTTTCCATGTCATCGTATGGCCTTGTGTGGTAACCAAGTCTTCGCGTTGTTCTTTTGACATTTTCGGATTTTGATAAGATATCGTCTTCTATTAATGAGAAACATCAATTAATTTACATTTTACTATAATTATGTTGACAATCAGCGATATCTCTCTTTTCTATTTCTAGAATAGCAATTATTAATAGATCACGTAATTAACCACGTACGATTGATACGCGATATTGATAAAACCTTTTGATATGTGTAAATAATAATTTATTTATTCGTATCATGCCTTGTATCGTATAAGAAATCATGTTAGAAATATCACCAGTAAAGTGTGTCAGCGTTATGCATGAACATCTGCCGTCATTGAAAATGTTTTCAATGATATTGCGTGTAATGCAATAAAGATGTACATAATGTGTGTAATACAATAAAGATGTGTAATGCAATAAAGATATATTATTGAATCATTAATTTCAAGTTTCAGTTGTCGCAACTATCGATAGAAATGGGTTAATATAGAAAATAATCTTTTTAGAATTTTATATTCTAAACATACTTGAAAACTTGTCTAAAGTGCTGAATAATGTAATATTCATGTAACAAATGCAAAATATTAATTTGTCTTACCTGGATATCCGATATCAACACTTTGAAATCAATCTTCTTATCTCTCAAATAATCCTTAACGTTTGCTACGACATCCGGGGCGACGATGATATCTAAGGTTCTAATAAATAAATATAGAAACTAAGCTAAACAGTTGTATAATTTTTTACTGAGAAAGATTACGTACTTGTTGGGGCTTGGAAAAGACCAAAATTTTATGTCTTTGGGCTCAGTGTCTTTCAAATCGCGCAGATCCGCAACATGCTTCTCCTTGTTCGGAAACACTCTGATCAAATGGTAATTTCCATAATTTATTCTTCTGGCACTCGAGCGTGAATTCTTTTTCTCGGTGCCAACAATGCTACTCATGACTGTATTGAGACCACTCGCTACAACAGACAGCTTAAGGACGAACTTTTAATAACACGAGATTTCAAGTAAAATAATTATGGATGATATATATATATATATATATATATATATATATATATTATTAATAAATAAATAATAATAT